TCCTAATTGTGTTTAGAGATCTACAAACTAATTGGGTAAAATCATAACTGTAAAATACAGGTTTCTTGAGACTTTTTAATCCGAGTTGTATCAACAATCTTTCTGATTTCAACTAAGAATTCAGGTTAAAATGTGTTCCTTAGAAATCTGAATGATTACAGTACATGTCTGTGTTCATTGAGAGTTCAATCTAGTTGTTTGTTGTTGACAGAGCGGCTTTGTGTCCCGCTTTGGAGCGAAGCAGGGCTTGGAGAGCCAGGTGAAGAAGGTGTGCTGTTGGACTCTGCTGGCCTTGGCTGGGAGCATCCTGACCTACTGCGTTTGGAAGAGGGTGGTTTAGCCAACACTGCCACCTACCGACCACAACCAGGAACTGTCAGAGACTGAGCGACAGTATGGAAATGTCTGCAGAGGTGGTTTAAGATGCATCATTTTATTAGTGAGCTGGATAATCAGTATGTTACCTTCTAACTATCAGTAGAATTCAAACGCCAAACACTGCATGTGATATCTGATAAACATTTTCCTTTCAGCTTGTAATTTAATCATTTTAAATTTTTAGTGTAAGTGCTCTTTGTAGATAAAGGTGCTGCTAAAATTTAGACAATGAATAAAAATAACAAAACATTGAATGAACCATATTTATATCCAGAATCTCCATCATGATCTTGCTACTTTTCACTTAAGTCACATTATAAGAGATTTGAAATGTTTGTTTACTTCTGTATTTCTGGCAAAACACCAGCCATGCAACTACACCTTATCTACAGTGTAGAGCCTCTACTCTAATAAATACTTTGACTTCATAGTTCTCATTAATTTGAAAGTAGCCTGTGAATACTATTAAAGACATTTAGACTTGAAAAATGCATTAGAAACTTTTATTCACATGAACAGCAGACAGAACACTGAAAACTGGAAAACACTTGGTTAGAACGTTACATTTTCATGGCAGATTTGCCAGCAAACCTTTGGACAATTTAAGGTTTAGGCAAGCTCCTCCTCGCCTTCCTCCTCAAACTCTCCCTCCTCCTCTGCGGTGGCGTCCTGGTACTGCTGGTACTCGGACACCAGGTCGTTCATGTTGCTCTCAGCCTCGGTGAACTCCATCTCATCCATACCCTCGCCGGTGTACCAATGGAGGAAAGCTTTGCGCCTGAACATGGCTGTGAACTGCTCAGAGATGCGCTTGAACAGCTCCTGGATGGCTGTGCTGTTGCCGATGAATGTGGCAGCCATCTTGAGGCCACGGGGAGGGATGTCACAGACAGCGGTCTTCACGTTGTTGGGGATCCATTCAACGAAGTAGCTGCTGTTTTTGTTCTGCACGTTCAGCATCTGTTCATCCACCTCCTTCATGGACATGCGGCCACGGAAGATAGCAGCCACTGTCAGGTAGCGGCCATGACGTGGGTCGCAGGCAGCCATCATGTTCTTTGCGTCAAACATCTGCTGGGTGAGCTCTGGTACAGTGAGGGACCTGTACTGCTGGCTGCCTCGGCTTGTGAGGGGAGCGAAGCCTGGAATGAAAAAGTGCAGACGAGGGAATGGCACCATGTTTACAGCCAGCTTCCTCAGGTCAGCATTGAGCTGTCCGGGGAACCTGAGGCAGGTGGTAACGCCGCTCATGGTGGCAGAGACGAGGTGGTTGAGGTCACCATATGAGGGGGTTGTAAATTTAAGGGTGCGGAAACAGATGTCATACAGTGCCTCGTTGTCAATACAGAAGGTTTCGTCTGTGTTTTCGACAAGCTGGTGGACTGACAGTGTGGCGTTGTTGGGCTCAACAACTGCGTCTGATACTTTGGGTGAGGGTACCACGCTGTAGGTTTTCATAATACGGTCAGGGTACTCTTCACGGATTTTGCTGATGAGCAGTGTGCCCATCCCAGAGCCAGTACACCAAGAGAGTGTGCGAGCTGGAAGCCCTGCAGGCAGTCACAGTTCTCTGCCTCCTTCCTCACTACATCCAGGACAGTGTCCACCAGCTCTGCACCCTCTGTGTAGTGACCTTTGGCCCAGTTGTTGCCAGCACCACTCTGGCCTAGAAAAGCAAAGAAAAAAAAAAACGGGGGGAATTAAGCTTAACAGTACTTAAATGCAAAATGACAAGTAGCTAGTAAAGAAGGAATGTAAGGACAAATGAACAATTACCGTGAACAAAGTTGTCTGGCCTGAAGATCTGGCCGTAGGGTCCGGATTTCACAGAGTTCATGGTTCCTGGCTCCAGATCCACCAGCACAGCACGGGGAACATATTTACCACCTTCAAGAAGCATATAGGACGTGAGGGTAATGTTCACAAAAAAAAAAGAAAAGCCAAAAAGTTTATGCCTATTAAAACATTTAATTCAACCTTACCTGTGGCTTCATTGTAGTAGACATTGATCCTGTCAAGCTGCAGGTCACGGTCACCGTGGTATGTGCCAGTTGGGTCAATGCCGTGCTCATCACTGATCACCTCCCAAAACTGAAATATAATAAAACATTTTAAGACATTGTTGGCTGATAAAACATAAACAAGTGACAGGGGAATGAGTAGGCAGTAATGTTGAAGTGGATGCAGGTCATTATGTATCGGTTTCTTTCATTTCTTTCAAGCTGACACAGCAGTTCTATAGAGGTTGATTCATAAGAGCAGTTGAACATCACTTCCGGCTCGCCAGAGTGACCACGCCCCCGTTTGGGTGAAAACAAGCCCTGAGAATGTTTCAGCGGAAGATTAGAAAACACTGGAAGCCGTGCAATTAAATGCAATTTGTACTTTTTGTACTTCAAACTATTTTAAAAACACAATTTAGTATCAGGTTTTGATTTACAAAAGGACACCGGAGGGTAAAAGAAGAGCTGTGTGTGTTTGGACTGAAACTAGAGAGGATTAAAGTGCTAAATTGTGGGACCGCTGTCATGTTCCTGCTTTAAAGCAGCGATCGCTCTGTGACAGAAGAAGTCTGTTAACAGATTCTTCACACATTCATTCACTAACATTAACAACGTTTCAACTGTCACGTCACATAAATATGTTGGTGAAAATGTCTCTAAATGAAGGAACACTACACCAAACCCTCCTCCTCCAAATTTAAAAGTTTGCTAGCTCAATATAACACCTTGTTTCACCCCACTCATCATTATTTACACTCACTATGAATACAAAATGTTTTAATATCATCCAGGTGATTTTACATGTGTTATTCTTTTCTAAGCCAGCTGATAACTCAGAGTCTATGTCCCCTTTTCTCTAAAATAAACATCTGTAACCACTCCATTACAGTTATGAACACTGTTAGAAACTATTACAAATATTATTTAAAAATAAAGATCCCTCTCGGGTAACACGGTTAATAATTACTCATCAGGTGTTTAAAGTCAGTTTCCTCTGATGTGGATGAGTTTGAGCAGTTTGACGGAGAGAGACTGAACACTCACATTGTTAATTTTATACCGTTATGATGCCGATCTCTGTTCAGAAATGTCATATTTTAAATGTTTACATCCCCGGTCATCAGATTTAGGCTCATACTTGCCGTTTTCATTTTTTAAGACTTTAAATCGGTAATGACCCCAGCTTGTCCATTAACCGCCAGTCATTCAGATGGAATGATTTCACCCAGAAAGGGGCGGGGCCGGCATCGTTTGGGCAAAGTACCCGGATGGGTTGCTCTCAAGTTCCCGCCGTTCAGCAGTCCGCGCGCGGCCTCGTCGCTCATACGTCATTAACCGCCAACACGGTCACGACTGCGGACTTTTTGTTTTAATCATAAACACGCAGAACTTTGTTCAAGTTACAGTACAGCCCAAGACGAGAGAAAACAATCACTTCATATATTTCGCATTGCGGGAACAATTACGTCACCGAATAAAACGAAAATAATGATTTTAACCACTCAACGGTCAATCCCACCCGCAGCGGTTAACTAACTAACTAACTAACTAACGGTTTGGCGTACAAATTAACACAATTTATCAGATTTATAAATGAGGTAAAATCGATTTATATTCGTTACAATTCGACGCATCATAACCCATCTTTTCTAAAATACATCGATTTCAACCGCACAAAAAACATAAAAAGCTGTACTAACCTTGGCACCAATTTGGTTCCCGCACTGGCCGACCTGAAGAGGCACAATTTCCCTCATTTTGTCTTTGGTTTTGGTACATTGGTTTACAACTTCGATGAACGAATTAAAGCGTTTATTAGCGTGTACTAACGGCAACCATCTGTTTTATACTACAGCTGAGCCCCGCCCTCTATCCCTCAGCTCGAACGTTGGTTGGTTCATTTCTTTCCGCTTGATGTACACGAACAGATTTAGACCAATTAAATCGTCCCTGTCTTCTCCACTATTGGTCCAGTCTGTCTGTCAATCACGTTCGTGCCAAACGTATGACTACCGTCTAATCTGTCGACGTTTGACTTGACTGTGATAACTTTTTTTGATTCATGACAATTTTATAGTTTTTATGTAGCCTACTTATAACTTGGGTTTTAATTAAGTGCTATAATATATATACAGTGTATGTACCATATATATGTAAATCTATATATTCTAAAATAAAATTAGACACATTATTATACATTGTCTTAAACTGAGAGATCTTCACTTGCTGTTTGACTGCTTTTATTTTGAAATAAAGTAAAGACCTTCTGGTGTATCGAAGATTAAGACCATAACTTAACCTCGTAAAACGAAACTAATTATCATCAAGACACTAATATTGTAAGCAGAATTAATGATTTTTTTAAGAAAAAAATATGGGGTTTTGAAAACAGGACTATGTATTTAATTTGGAGAGCAGACTATAAAAATGTGTTTGATGCTTTATTGTACCAATCTATAAAAAGCATGTAACAGGAGAGTAGAAATTCCCCAGTTTCTGGAGTATTCACCTTTTATTTCCTGCTAAGACTACAACACATGGAATTACTCAGAAAATAATTGTCTGTATTAACCCCACTATTTTTGATGTCTTTCAAGAATGAGTGACAACACAAAAGAGTGATGATTAAAATATTTATTATAAAAACAGACATCACATACATAGCATGGTTTGGGTGAAAAGTTGCAAGACTCAGTCCAGACTGTTGCAGTACATTTAGGGGACAAAGAAGATGTTTTTTTTCAAATGAAGCCAGGAAAAGAGGCAGACAGAGCTGTTCATCCTGGCCTTTACACGAGGCTCTGACTGAAAACACTACAGTCACATTTAATGGTGATTCCCACTTCAGAGCTGAGCTTTAGGTCACATGACAACCCCCCTTTGCCTTTTAAAAAGCAAAATACAAAGACAAGCAAGCACACAGAGGAAACATGCAGAAAAAGAGCAACTTAATTATATGCAAACAAAATAATTCAATGCAAAAAATCCACATTCAAAAAGTAAACTTAATATTTATATACAGGTTGGCTTAAAGGTTCCTCAAGGTTTCATGGTAAAGAGATAAATACAGCAGATTTGGCAACACCCTTCACAAGTAATGACCACTACTGTGAAAGAGAAAAAAAAACATGCACACAACTTTTAACAATTCTAAACAAAACTCAGGAAATCATTTATAAGACACATCACTCAAATAGAAAAAAATGACACATCAAACAAAAACTGTTCCTGCAGCAGTAGCATTAACTTCATTTGCTTATTCTACAGACATGAGAGGTATTAGCACTTAAATACCGCACTTCACATCTTACACCATGAACACAACAAAAGACATGCTGACCAAAGGGCTCTTCAGCTGGAAAATAACCATTACATTTACCATGACTCAGCTGCATGTTTACTAGTAAACAAACTTCATATCCCACAAATCAACACGTCTCTCCCCACCGGTTCACACTCCTGCAGAAACGACAAACTTGCATGTATTATGATCTTTAACCAAAAGAGGGAACCACTTTATCTCATCTGCAAGAAATTAAAATGTTCCTATAATGTGCAAACATCTTCTAAAGCTGTAATTTATGATACGTGTGAGGGGAAAAAAGACATAACATTACAAGCAAACATTTTCTTGACATTTAAGGGGAAATAAATGGAACATAAAATCCAGAAAAAAGTTTGAGAAAAGTGGTCTTAATAATCCATCTTAAGATCATTTAATGGCGTTTCTATCGAATATTTTAGATTGTGAACACTGCACAGCTGCACTGATCCAAATCATTCAAAATCCAACTTGCACCATGCCGCACACATTAAGATCAAACTGTTACACTAACTGTGTTTACATCTTTGTATAAATATATATTTGATATTTGATTATATAGTCAGCACGTTGAGTGATTTATCTTTGTCCCTCAATCGCTTATTTTGGGAAAAAATAATTGGCAGACATCAATTAAAGGCCAGCTTTAATTCTTATCTCTTAAACACAAACATTTCTATACTTTAAACTCTCGCTTATTAATTGATTAAAAATAGAACCCAACTTGGGAAGGTTTAGACACAGTTTAAGGCGCTTCATGAACAGTAACATTGACGGACAACATTTTAAGGGCATAAATATAAATTTCATCCATGCCATATTTGTGGCTCTTAGCAACAGGACTTGGAGCAAAGAGCCTGGAACCTCGAGCAAATAGCTTAAGAGTGTGCAGCGGGTCAGTAGCAGCTCAGGTGATAGGTAAGAGCACACTAGTCAGGATCCACACCGACTGCAGGTTTAAAGCCGTAAATACATACAAGACAGATAAATATTCAAGGAGGACCGGTCCATGGCACTGTTTTCGGGCTGTTTGTATATTGCACTTTGTGTAGTAAAAAGTTAATCAGTACATTGCTCAGAGTTCATCTCAGAAGCATTTCCTGAAGATGATCTGCGGTCCGTACTCCTCGTATTCTTCCTGACTGATCCATGCAGAGCTGAAGGTGGGCAGGTTGGCAAGCACTGCTCCTCCCCTCCACACTGAAAAGTCTCTGTCCTTCGGGCTGGTGACATGAACACTCTCCCCTGTGTCAGGGGGAACCAGTCCTTTGATTCCAGCCTGGAGCTGCTCAGGCAGGCCGTCCAGCAGGGTGTTCCCTCCTACAGGAGCAGATAGAAAGGAAACTCAAAACATGACCAAAGCAGTGCTACCAAAAGGGCGTGTACTCACTGCTATAAACCATCATTTTCATTTTTGTATTTTGGTGTACAGTGACTTATTTTTATTTTTATAGGTACTCTCCTCATAGCAGGTTCTCTGGGTTCTTCACATGATGGAACTAAATAAACAGAGTTACTGAAGGGGCACCTCATGAAGCTAACGGGCAATCATTCTACCTTACCCGCTTTCCTATAACTGCTAAAATAAATAGCAAATGTTTTAAATCTTCACAGCAGGTACACACACTTACACATTCACACACTGGTGGCAGAGGCTGCTATGTGAAGTGACCATCACAAGTAGTTAATCCCTTTCATAGACATTCACACGCAGAGGGAGCAACTTTGGGTTATGTGTCCTGCCGAAGGACACATTGAACATGTGGCTGCAGGAGCTGGGGATTGAACCCCGACCTTCCAGTTGAGAGATGACCGACTCTACCAACTGAGCCACAGCCGCCCAAAATCCACTTGACATGCATCCAGTCAACAGTAAGACTGCTACTTTGAGCACTGAAGTTTAATTCATGAAGTTCATAGATATAAAGGTTTTAGGATCAAATAACTTTAGACTGTGTGCTCTCTTTTTGTCCAGGGCAGTACGGTCTTTAGAAATATTGATGATTTAAAATGCAGTGCCCTGACATCTGTAGTCGTAATGGGACACTTGGAATTACACACTGTATCATGTGAAAAGATGATAGAAAAAACAAGGAATCGCAGGAATCATGTTAGACGTACAGTATGGCTGAAAAAGTCTGGTTCTGTTTGAGGTTTTCTGCCAGTCATATTCGCTGGTTTGAATGGCGTCCAATCGCTGAATTGTTTCAACTTGTAAACTCATTGGAGCCGTCATTGGCTGGGAGAAGCACACCAGCTCCTCGCCCAGAAAAGTCCTGACTCAGCCAAAACATCAAAATCCAGACAGAGTCTCTGCAGACACAGTCACCACCACACATGTATGGAGGCCTAGGAGTGATGACTGAGCAACATCACTTTGGTATAAGTCTATTTTATTTTCAAATGTTCAATGAAACTTTTGCAAACACATACCACACTATTGTTGAAGGAAAGTACTTGCACTTGTTTTATTATCCACTTCAAGCTCTGGACCCTCTGGAGCTGGAGCGCACCTTTAGACTGTTGTGTAACACCATAACAAACATCAGCTGTTACCTGACAGCACAATGTTTCCCAGGAAGCAGCGCCGCAGGTCGATGTCCGAGCTGAGGATTGACTTGAAGACGCTCTCGTGTATCCCGTAATGGTCCCGTCCAATGAGCTCGGGTTTAAAGAGAATCTCAGGGGCCCTGCATGAAGAGAGAGGGGCAGATAGAGGAGGATATTTTGAGAGTTTAAGAACATAAAAAGGCAGTTACACTTTTTTAGGAATGTGCTCTAAAAAGAGGCAGGTAGCCAGTCTGAAGGGTTTGCCTTATCCTGCAGGTGCTGCATGTCTCTCTCTCTTTTACATTTGGTTTTATCCACCAAGACTGAAGTCAGGATGAGCCCCAGACTTGTGTTCCTCTACTCATGTTAAAATCGGTTTCAGTCGGTCGCTTCAGTTCCAATCATCTACATTCTCTGGCAGAGATTGGTGGGGTTGGATACCTGAACATTTTGGTTGCAGTTTAAGCTGTTCTCCCAAAGATAAAGCTGCTGAGGTCTGTGTAGACGCAGAAACTGACCACAATTAAAACCGGATTAATCCAAAAGCAGCTCTGTTTTTCATGGGGTAATCTGCTATTTATTTTGGGGGACAAAGTTTTAGAATTGCCTCAGTAGATTATTCCTTCCTGCAGATGCAACATAGTCTATTGTTGCAATCCTTATCTGCATAGGAGCGCGATCAAAGTTAGCCCTCTTTAAGTTTTTGTCTCTGACAGGCTCAGATTGTTACTTTAAGTGTTTGGAAACATCACAGAAAGGCTCCCCACAGAGAAAGACCTCTTTGTTCAAGACTGAAATATTTCACTTTTGGTTAACAATTCAGACAAGAGGCAGCTTTAACATCACCCTCAAGAGTCATTATTTGACAGAAAATTCACTGACAGAAATTAGTGAAGCGGCGCTCACAGGAAAGAGGAAACAGTCAGAAAGTAATAAAGCATAATAATAAATAAAGCATGGAGAAGGGTACAGAACTTTTACATGGCCGTTTTCATTTTAAAGTTCTTCCAGACGGCGCAGTCCACAGAGCCAAAATTATTTGTAACCACTGCGAAGTTGAATTTTCTTATCACCGGAGTACTTGATAAGTACTCCAAAATATGTTGCAGCTTCACTAGTCTTCACTTTATTTAAGCGTTTAACAAAGACCCAGTACCTTCATTCACTCTGCCTACGAGTCTCTTCAGCTGCTGAATAATAACTACAGCTTTCTTGCTAACTCCGGAGCATCACAACAACAACAACTCTTCTCTGAACTCCTGCATGTCACTGTCACTCACAGACTCCACCTAGTGGTGTAGATTATGCAGCGCATTTAATTAATAACACGTCAACATCAACTGCTTGAATAATGTTGCAGTTCAGAAAAATACATTAATATTAGCAACTTTGAAGATGAATTCAAAAAGATTATAAACTAAAGAATTTTAAAATGACAAGTACAACAAAAATGTGTTTGTGGGGTCCCCGATAACTAAACAATAAACATCAATGTTCTCAATTGACCTGTCACACTCTCCCCCACTTTAAAAATGGCGTCCCGACATTTTCATTATACCGCTTAGCCTAAAACCTTTCTGGGCAGTTTTTTTTTAATATAACAAACAGGATGACATTATGCCCTTGCAGTGGCAATAAGCTTTAGTTTTGTATTTATTTGCTTTGATTACATTGTTTAAGTTGAGAAGTACATTTACAATAAAAGTGCGCTATACACTACTTTTTAATTCATTATTGGATTTTGCATATAACAATGCGATTAATCGTGATTAATCACAGGAACTCATGCGATTAACGCGATTAAAACTTTGAATCGTTGCCCAGCCCTAGTTTTTAGGTACGACAGAAAGATATAAAAGCATCATTTTCTAAAGGTCTTAGCATGCACCAGATAAAATGGTTGTAAGATCACCCCACAACCAGTGGCCTAGTGGTTAGTTCGCGTGCCCCATGTACAGAGGCTACAGTCCTCAAAGCAGGAAGCCCGGGTTCAAATCTGGCCTGTGGTTCATTTGCACCCACTCTCTCTGTCCCTAATTTTTGACCCAATCCCCTGTCTCTACCCTGTCTCTCAAATAAAGGCATAAAAGCTCCAATAAGTGTGGATGACTTCCTGGTGTTTCATGACGACAGTACCTGGTAATAGGAGTCCGTCTCTGGTCACCACAGTGTATCCACAGACTCCGTTATACTGCAGTGGCAGCTCATTAAAGCTGGCTGTAGTTTCAGGGAGGAGCCAATCATGTGACTTCATCTCACCTGGATCGATTCGCTCACCTACACAGCATTAGAGAAACAGCAGCATTAAGAGTCTGTTGGGTTCAGATATAGTTCAGTTCTTGAAGTCTTGTGGAATATGGACTTTACTCTGTATTTGATTTCGAGAAGTCGTTACCCTCTGCTCATCTGCCTTCACCTCTGAGGACTCCAACAGGCCGTCTAAATGAGCTTCAGAGAAGATCTTGGCCTGCGAGGCGATGAAGGGCTGCAGGTTGATGCTGATGTTATTGAGGATGTTCAGCAGCTCGGCCTCGTCCTGGAGTCCCGACCACAGCTTAGACAGAGCCTTAAACAGTGGCTGAAAGACAAAAATGAGAGAAGATGTAATAAAAGGTGCAGTGAAAAAACAAAGGAATAAAAAACAAAGCAACATTTTGTAATGGTAAACGTCTGTTTTCATGAAGGCACACTTTTTGATTTCGTCTTCAACTGATGAGAAGACATGATTGAGATTATTCCATTTTTTTAATCATAAATATTCCAGCTTCTCTCCAGGACATTTTTACAAGACTTTTTCTTGACAATCCAGCACAGCAGGTACCCACAAACTGTGATTTATACTGTAAGATGAGCATTATGTGATATTTTATTGAGTGTTTGATGCACAGAAGGTCAGAAGGTCATTCCTGCCTGTGGCCTTCAGACTTTATAACTCCTCCGTTTGACAGTCAGTTAGTCTGAAATTTACTGGACTATAAACCTGAATTTAGTTAACATGGCAACCGTGCAAATCTGTCCGCAAACTGGTCAACAATTTGTTTATATTTTGTTCATATTGCGCGTAATACAAACACTGTGCAATATCTACTCTATTAACACAGTACACACATTATATTTATATTCATATTCGTAAACATTTTTTATATCTTTTCAATTCCCTGCCCTTTGTAAATCGCTTCTTAGTATTACTCTCACTTATTGCTTATCTTAAGACTGTTATGGTAATATTTTGTAAAGCACTTTGCTATTGATGCTATACTCTACCAAATTAACTTTTCTTACTACAACTCCCCTGCACGACATTACCCCTGAGTACCTTTCAGACCTCCTCCACCCCTACAGTCTGACCCAGAACCTCCAGTCCTCAGACACTGCTCTGCTCTTCACTCCCCACACCATCGAGCAGACTTTGGGGGGCAGAGCCCTTCAGTGTGGCAGCCCCCCCCCCCCCCCCCCCAACCTCTGGAACGATAAGGTATCAGAACTTACAAACACTGTTGCAGTGGGTACAGCTGCCTTTGACTTCACAGAGATGACGTTCACTTGTATCGGAGGATGGTCGAAGAGCTGCAGAGCTACGGAACCGTGTTGACCGAGCACGTGAGCAGCAGCGAGCTCTCCAACAGAGGACATACCTTACAGTCTATGTTCAGACAGTCTATGGGTCAGACAGTCTATGGTCAGACAGTCTATGGTCAGACAGTCTATAGTCAGACAGTCTATGGTCAGATAGTTTATGGATCAGACCGTACAGTCTATGGGTAAGACCTTACAGTCTATGGTCAGACAGTCTATGGGTAGGACAGTCTATGGGTCAGACAGTTTATGGTCAGACAGTCTATGGTTCAGACAGTCTATGTTCAGACAGTCTATGGTTCAGACAGTCTATGGGTCAGACAGTCTATGGGTCAGACAGTCTGGGTCAGACAGTCTATGGGTCAGACAGTCTATGGTTAGTCAGACAGTCTATGGTCAGACAGTCTATGGTCAGACAGTCCATGGTCACACAGTCTATGGGTCAGACAGTCCATGGGTCAGACAGTCTGTGGGTCAGACAGTCTATGGTCAGACAGTTTATGGATCAGACAGTTTATGGTCAGACAGTATATGGTCAGACAGTTTATGGTCAGACAGTCTATGGTCAGAGAGTCTATGGTCAGACAGTCTATGATCAGACAGTCTATGGGTCAGACAGTCCATGGGTCAGACAGTCTATGGGTCAGACAGTCTATGGTCAGACAGTTTATGGTCAGACAGTATATGGTCAGACAGTTTATGGTCAGACAGTCTATGGTCAGACAGTATATGGTCAGACAGTCTATGGTCAGACAGTCTATGGTCAGACAGTCTATGGTCAGACAGTCTATGGGTTAGACAATCATGGTCACAGTCTATGGTCAGACAGTCTATGATCAGACATTCTATGGGTCAGACCTTACAGTCTATGGATCAGACAGTCTATGGTCAGACAGTCTATGGATCAGACAGTCTATGGTCAGACAGTCTATGTCAGCAGTCTATGTCAGACAGTCTATGGTCAGACAGTCTATGGTCAGACAGTCTATGGTCAGACAGTCTATGATCAGACAGTCTATGGATCAGACCGTACAGTCTATGGGTCAGACAGTCTATGGTCAGAAGTCTATGGTCAGACATCTATCGGTCAGACCTTACAGTCTATGGGTCAGACAGTCTATGGTCAGACAGTCTATGGTCAGACAGTCTATGGGTCAGACAGTCTATGGTCAGACAGTCTATGGTCAGACAGTCTATGGTCAGACAGTCTATGGGTCAGACAATCAATGGGTCAGACAGTCTATGGTCAACAGTCTATGATCAGACAGTCTATGGTCAGACCTTACAGTCTATGGTCAGACAGTCTATGGTCAACAGTCTATGGTCAGACAGTCTATGATCAGACAGTCTATGGATCAGACCGTACAGCTATGGTCAGACCTTACAGTCTATGGTCAGACAGTCTATGGGTCAGACAGTCTATGGTCAGACAGTCTATGGAGTCTAGATCAACAGTCTATGGGTCAGACCTTACAGTCTATGGGTCAGACAGTCTATGGTCAGACAGTCTATGATCAGACAGTCTATGGATCAGACCGTACAGTCTATGGGTCAGACAGTCTATGGTCAGAAAGTCTATGGTCAGACAATCTCTCGGTCAGACCTTACAGTCTATCTATGGTCAGACAGTCTATGGTCAGACAGTCTATGGGTCAGACAGTCTATGGTCAGACATTCTATGGGTCAGACAGTCTATGGTCAGACAGTCTATGGGTCAGACAATCAATGGTCACACAGTCTATGGTCAAACAGTCTATGATCAGACAGTCTATGGGTCAGACCTTACAGCCTATGGGTCAGACAGTCTATGGTCACACAGTCTATGGTCAAACAGTCTATGATCAGACAGTCTATGGATCAGACCGTACAGTCTATGGGTCAGACCTTACAGTCTATGGGTCAGACAGTCTATGGGTCAGACAGTCTATGGGTCAGACAGTCTATGGTCAGACAGTCTATGGGTCAGACAGTCTATGGATCAGACCTTACATTCTATGGGTCAGACCTTACAGTCTATGGTCAGACAGTCTATGGATCAGACCTTACAGTCTATGGGTCAGACCTTGCAGTCTATGGTCAGACAGTCTATGATCAGACAGTCTATGGTCAGACAGTCTATGGTCAGACTGTCTATGGATCAGACCGTACAGTCTATGGGTCAGACCTTACAGTCTATGGTCAGACAGTCTATGGTCAGACAGTCTATGGGTCAGACTTTACAGTCTATGGTCAGACAGTCTATGGTCAGACAGTCTATGGGTCAGACAGTCTATGGTCAGACAGTCTATGGGTCAGACATTACAGTCTATGTTTCAGACAGTCTATGGGTCAGACAGTCTATGGTCAGACAGTCTATGGATCAGACCGTACAGTCTATGGGTCAAACCTTACAGTCTATGGGTCAGACAGTCTTTGGTCAGACAGTCTATGATCAGACAGTCTATGGGTCAGACCTTACAGTCTATGGGTCAGACAGTCAATGTCAGACAGTCTATGATCAGACAGTCTATGGATCAGACCGTACAGTCTATGGGTCAGACCTTACAGTCTATGGATCAACCTTACAGTCTATGGTCAGACAGTCTATGGTCAGACAGTCTATGGTCAGACAGTCTATGGGTCAGACCTTACAGTCTATGGGTCAGACCTTACAGTCTATGGGTCACACCTTACAGTCTATGGGTCAGACAGTCTATGGGTCAGACTTTACAGTCTATGTTTCAGACAGTCTGTGGGTCAGACCTTACAAGAGACTGGAGTTTGTGTTTCAGGGATTTTCCAACATTAAAAGTGTTTGTTTGTCCCCTTCAATGATATTCATTAATCTTCCTGTTTTATTGTTATCTTTAATTCATTTGTTGTTTGGACCATAAAATATCATGACATTTACCAGCGTTTACTTTATAAAGTGATGATAAAAAACAGAAACAATGCAAGTGATAGAGAGCAGACATCAGAACCATGGACAGAGTCAGAATAGAAATAAAATGTGAGACACAAATACATATTAGAAATAATCTGAAGAAATGTATTAAAACAGAGATGATTCTTTTTTCAAATGTATTGTAATTTTTCATTGTGATTATTTTTCAAATGATTTGTTTCTGTGGGAGGAATCCAATTGCTGCTTCGTTCTGCAGCCTCTGACAGCAACTTGATGGCTCATCGGAGGGCCTGTCCACGGACTCCCATCTCTTTCAGTAGCCTGGTGGAAGATGTTGCAACAAAGCCTCTGCAGCCAATCTCCACAGGGAGTACTTGCGTTCTCCAGCCCTGTTGTACTGCCTCGTCTGCCAGATCTGAATATTTCAGCCTCTTGCGTTCATATGCTTCCCCAACTACAGCCTCCCATGGCACAGTTAGTTCCACAATATATAGGGACTTTAGGCTGACCACATAATCAAATCCGGCCTGAGATTGGTTGCAACAATTTCTGGTGGAAAAACAAGCTTCAGGTCAAGATCGACTTGCATTTTCCAATCCCTGGATGCATCCAATTGGCATGCTTCCCTTCTCACAGTTGGATTCCTTCGGTCTTGTCCTGCTGGTGCGAAGGTAGTAGTGTAATTGAAGCCAGTGGTTGGGGGAGAGAGTGTATTGGTGGTAGCCCTTCTCCCTTCTAGGATTAGAGCCAGTTGCCGGAGGACCTGGTGTTGCCTCCAGGTATACCGTCCTTGGGTGAGGCTTGTTCTGCAGCCAGTGAGGATATGTCTTAGGGTTGCTGGTGTTTGGCAGAGTGGACATGCTGGGTCTTCTCCAACCAACTGGCTTAGATTCTTAGGAGTGGGAAGGAGATCATAGGTGGCTCTAATGATGAAACTAAGTCTGCTTCCTTCCATCTCCCAAACATCCCTCCATGTGATTTTTCGATTCTCCAGATTTTCCCATCTTGTCCATTGGCCCTGTGAGACGGCCATTGCACATCTTTTTGCCTCTTCCTGGTGACGCACCTCTGCTACTACAAGCTTTCTTCTCTGGCCGAGTGTTGCTTTGTGCCATGTAGGTCCGCTTGTTCCGAGACCAAGACCACCTCTTCCATGCTGCACCTGGCCTACAATATCCCCATGCCTGAGAGCTGACTTTGCCTGTTGTACAGCCTGAGTTGGGGTCCACTTCTTCCCTGTTGCCAGCCTGGGAGCAGCTGTTCGTATTGTGGAGTCTTGGGATTCGCTCAGGGTCATGTCCAGTCTTACCTTGGTGCATTTGTACTCCTCAGCCAGGCTTGTGACCGGCAGTTCCAGCGCGCCAATTCCATACAAGTCGATATTGCTGAGACAACGCGGGAGTCCAAGCCATTTCTTGATGTATGAACTGACTGTTCTCTCTAACTTCACAGGAACCTCATAGACTGTCAGAGGCCACATTAGACGGGGGAGCAATCCAAACTGGAGGCACCACAGTTTCAACCTGCCAGGAAGGAGGGTCTTGTCTATGTTTACAAGGCCATTGATGGTTTCTTCCCTCAGTTTTTCGCTTTAGTCCGAGTCCTTGAGGCTTGAGTTGTACCAACGCCCTCAGCTTTTAACTGGCTTCTCTGACGCCATTGGAATGGGTTCTCCGTCGATATGGAATCTCTGGTCTGTGAGTTTTCCCTTCACAATGGAGATACTCCTGGATTTGCTGGGTTTGAACTTCATCCGTGCCCATGTTATGGTTGAATGAAGCTTTTTTAGCAGCCGTTTCGTGCATGCAATGCATGATGTCAGGGTGGTCATGCCATCCATATAGGCACGGATAGGAGGTAGCTGCTGTCCCGACTTCAGACGTTCTCCTCCCACCACCCACTTAGATGCTCTGATGATCAGCTCCATTGCCATGGTGAAGGCTAATGGGGAGATGGTGCACCCTGCCATTATTCCTATTTCCAAAGATTGTCAGGATGTAGTGAACTCTGATGTTGTGAGGCAGAACTGCAAATCTTGGAAATAGTTTCTGACCAGTTTGGTGATGGTCTCTGGAACATGGAAGAACTCAAAGGCTGTCCAGAGGAGAGTATGAGGGACAGATCCAAAGGCGTTGGCTAGGTCCAGGAATAAGACATGAAGATCTCTTCCTTCCTTTTTCACAGCTTGAATCTGATGCCATATCATGGATGTGTGTTATAAGCATCCCGAGAAGCCTGGTATACCAGCTTTCTGTACTGATGTATCAATTAAGCTGTTCAGTTTCAGGTAGGCTGTCATCCTTTGTGCAATGATGCTACAGAAGATTTTCCCTTCAACATTCAGAAGGTTGATTTGCCGGAACTGGTCGAGGCTTGAAGCATCCTTTTCTTTGGGGATTAATACACCCCCTGCTCTTCTCCATGCTTTTGGGATGTTTTGCTTCTTCCATGCCACCTTGATTAGATAGAGAAATTAATAGAGAAATATAAATATCTTAAAACATAGTTTCCTTATTGGTCTGTTCCTCACATACAAAATGACAGAGTTAGGATGAAGTTCAAACCAGATTATTTATAGATGTTGACTTTACAAACATTACATTACAATAACTCACTGCCATAAAGCTCCAGTCTGATTGGGTAATAAAAACATTGCTTATGGACTTGTTGTGACTTATCTTTTTGTGTCAAAGTACAGAGAACTAAACTGATGATAAACGGTCGAAGGTTTTTCTAAATAATATTTCTGAACTCTTGTGTTTTATAAAATATGAAGGCGTAATGTGACATAATAATATATTTACATCTGTATTCATCTTTTGGACTTGACTGTCAGAACCTTTAAAGATCTTCTTGGTTATCATCATTCTTTCAGTTAAATGACACCATGACTGCGTCCCGGGATCAGTCCAAAACGTGTGATAGACCAACGTTCAGCATGATCCCGGGTTGTAGTGTGTTTTATGTAGTGGACTATAAAGGGTGTGATCATACTGACTCAGAATCCAGACTCTAAAATGGCAGATTCACTACAGTGCACTACGATCCCATATTTAATAATGTCTGTGTGACTGGCTGATTGGTTGAAGGTTAAACACTTGAGAGTACATTTATGATTCATTATTTCAAACTCTGTATTCCTCTCTGCTCAAACGGTTTCTGTCAGATATTAAACAGATTTATCATCATCAGATAGTATTCAGTCACACTTTGTCTTCAGTGAGAACATTTCTCTTTCTCTTCACAGATTCTCCTGATGAACATCTCCACAGGTCAAACTCTGACATGTGGTGATATCAGTATGAGATAAGCTGCTGTCCTGGTAAGATCCTGTTAATAATTAACTTTAATTAATCTTTCATTGCAGCCAAAACATCTTTACTGGTTACTGAGTTTAGAGGTGTTCTCTCTCAAACACTAACAGTTCAACATTCAGTCTTCATTCCCTCACCTGTTCATATCTGAGACATTTTACACCTGGTGAACAATCTGCGTCTGTCCTGATGATGAAAAAGATGAAGATGGTGATGATCTCTCTGACTGCAGGAAGCTGAAAACACTTTTCTCTGGGGAAGGTGTTACCTGTCCTGGTTTGGAGTTACATTCCTCTTGGTCTTAAATCTGCGTTGGTTCAAACAGACGAGGAATCTGTGCTGGTCTTCTGTTACAGAGAGAATGAGACCTGGATCAGCTGCAGTGTTTCTGGTAGATGATCTTATTGAATTATCTGAGCACTGATTCGGTGTAAATATTTGTTCTGAATGATTCTTCTTCACACAAACAGACAAACTTCAGATGTGAAGATTTGAACTCTTTCCCTCTTCTCTCTTCATGGTCTGGATGATGATTTTAGATTTCTCTCTGTATTCCTGTACACTTTGTCTTCAGTGAGAACATTTCTCTTACTCTTCACAGATTCTCCTGATGAACGTCTCCACAGGTCAAACTCTGACATGTGGTCCATATCATTATGAGATACATGATAGATGCTGTACTATGTGTCCAGCTGGTAAGATCCTCATAAATGTTAAAGAATCTTTAATTAATCTTTAAGTTTATCAGGTTAGTTTCACTGTCCCAATTCTAAATAAATAAACAGACACTAACTAAAAACTTGCAAAAGCTGTTTTATATTTGTATTATTTTCAACATATACATTTAAAGAACATTTACCTTTACAATTACCTTTAAACATATTCATTATATATTATCGTCCTCTGTTCCACTTACCGTCTTCTTGTTCCTCCTTTTCTCACCCAGACAGATTATTCTCCTTCATTTTCCCTTGGTGACTTTATTGGCAAGTTTAAGATTTCACAGGAACAATGCATTTACACTTGAAAGCGCAACAAGATTGAGTTCTGTCGGGTGGGGCCCCCTTAGGGAGGTTTCCTACTGTCATTGCAAAATTTGCACATTTTGAGCCTCTGCTGTGTTTTAAAGTTTTTCAGACCTCCAGGGCCCCCTGCTGGTCGTCTGGGGCAACAAGCAGAGTACTGCCTTGCCAGTTGACAAACAGCGCCTCTTGTGCTCTCTCTCTCTTCATGTTGTTTTAGCATTCATGTTCTTGCGGAAAAATGTCTTGTTGTTGTTTCAAACAGGAGGTTGGGTTTATGCAGACTGCACAGACTTCAGAAGTACTCTCTGTAAGCCCTGCCCTGATGGAACCTTCATGGACCATCCGACTTACCATCCAGTCTGCTACATCTCTAAAAGCTGTGATGAAGGTAGATCTCTGACATTATTATAAAACTAAATAAAGATCAGAACATGTTACTAAACAGTCATCACTCTAAAACCAGCTTTGTAACCTTCAGTTAGTTTCAGTTTGAGCCTCAAACACAGAGATGATCATCTGAGTACTTGTTATTTCCTTACACCAAACTGTTCTTTAGTAGAGCAGAAGTACAGTAGTTCATAAATAACCTCTGTGTTTGTGTCGACAGGTTCTGGTCTGAAGATGAAGACGTCGTGTACAAAAGTATCAGACACAGTTTGTGAACCTCTGGAAGGATTTTACTGCTCAGACTCTAGAAAGGACGACTGTGTGGAAGCAAGGAAACACAGACACTGTGAACCAGGAGAATACATCAGAGAACACGGTTAGTTAAACACATTTCACTTTTATTAGTGTGAGAGCTGGCAGCTTTATTTTTATATCTTATTATTATTATTCCTCTGTTTTTTGGCTGGTATCTCCTCCTATACTAATTGTGCTAGAAACATGGTTCAAACTGGAAATGGTAAAGCTTGGTGAGGAGAATTATGCTATTACTTTTAATGATGCTACAATGTTCCAGTGATTTAATATTAATATTTTAAACTGTAAAAAAAGTTAATGGAACCCTATGGGACACAATTTTATAAGCTCATAACTCAAAAACCAATAGTACTATAGTATTCAAACTTACGAATATGGTTCATAATGGTAACATGCGTACCATACTAAAAGATGATACTCACAGCGCCACCATGTGGTGAGATATTTAGCGTTATGCTATCAATGCTAATAAGTTGCTAACAGTTACCCGTACGGAAATAATATTCGCTCGGAGTGTTCCTTGGATGGTACTGATCGTTTCCTGAGCAGCAACCTATGGTCAATTCAGAAGTTCATGACTCTATATTTTTCAAAATATGAATAATCAATTAACTACTGTAACTCATCAAGCTTTTACCCAAATCAAACCAAAATTGGTACAGCCATTGGTCAGACACTCCACAGCCCACAGATTTAGGTAAAGATTAGTTAAACGGTGTGCCTGTGAAGACAGTAAATTATTTACTGTACTCAGTACTGTAGGAAAAACATTTTCTGTTTTGCTTAATGTTTGATCAAACTTCACCAAATTTGTCGACGGCCCTCAGGAAGGCATCAGGATGTTGTATGATTTTTTGTAGAATTTTACGATCGAATTTTGAAATTTGAAGCGTTAAAATTTAAAATGAGTACTCCCCATGTGATGTCATTGCCTCATATAGTGAATAGTTGTATTTCATTTGTAAGTTCACTTCTCTATATTTTTTACATTTATGTTTAACATTTTGAAAACAAAAGTGTTTAAAGTCTAAGGTCTAAAAACAAAAGTTTTTCCACTGTTTTGTCACTGCCCTATAGTGTAGCATTGTTTGATGGTGTCTTGTCTCCTCTGTAGCCCAGTGGGTAAAACCGCTACTCTGATAATCTGATGATTATGGGTTAGATTCCCGAGAGTTCCAGACTAGCTCATCTATTATGGAAACTTGTTCCTGTGGTGACAACAGTCACCAACAGTTGATCTACAGGTGGTGCTTAAGGGCTTCAAAAGCTTTAGCTGCTGCTTGGAAGTGGAAAAAGCCACCAAACAGACTGCGGTAGCGATGGCTGCAAAGGCCATGGCTTTGCTCATATAGTTGCTTCCACTCCCAGCCCTGCACGCTCTCACACTGAAATTTCTTCAGGAATTTCCCATTCTAGTTGGAAGTCTGTTCTGTCATAATCACGATTATTTACAGACCACTGACAAAGAAATAATTTCTTCTGTCTTATGAGTCACCATCTGAAGATTTTCAGAACTCTCTGGATCGTAATATTCCAACAAAAACAGTCCTGCTGCATCAGAACGAGTCCCAACCATCCAAATCTAGAGAAAGATTGAATCCAAACATATCACATAAATAAAGATCTACAGATTGATTCAAATTGTCCACCACTGTTCCAGATTTCCCGCTGTATTTTCTGTGATGATTAATTTTTGTGAATGATATTCTGATGAATCTATACCCAGCCAATTGCACGCCACTATGCTGACGACTGACGTTTCTTGTAGCCAATGACATTCTGAACACGCTTTTTGAATTTGAATTGATTTATTTAATAGGGACGATGAAACTGATGTGCTCCATAAAGTGTATATAGTGATATAGTGAATTTACAACTTTTGTCCCTAGTTGAGCCTTTGGGTAAACAGAGTAAAAATATACAACATTCTGTTACATAACCCCCCCCCAACACTATATGAGGGTACAACAATATAACACTACACATGCTATAAATCAGTTTAAAATATAGTTTTAAGATGCTATTTAAAAGTGGGTACAGCTCTGGTTTGCTTTCAGCCAGCATTTCACCTTTTTTGTGAACGCTGCCTTAATTAATAACTCTCATCCCGCAGGCTGTGGGTGTATTATGTCAGTTTAAATAGACAGAGAGATAGGCATAGCGTTGAGTTTCCAGTAATTAAAGCAAATTTCTCAGGATCCGTCACTTTTCCTGTTGAATTTGAATTTATTTATTTAATAGGGATGATGCAATTTAACATGGTTTGAATACAAAGCATGAAACTGATGTGTTGCACAGAGAGCTTATAGCTATTGCTAATTTCCAACTCGTGTCCCTAGTTGGGCCTTTGATTAGCTGAAATGTGTTTGACCAACTGATAAGATAATTACATGACATCATTTTGTATATATGGTGATAGAGGGACTGTGTTCATGTCTAAAACAACCTCTGTGAAATAGCCTCATGTGTTCTGTATTTCCTGCAGGAACTTCCTCCACAGACACCGTGTGCTCGACCTGCTCTGATGGAACATTTTTAGATGGGACGTTTACATTTTGTCAGAAACACAAACAGTGAGTGAAGCTTCACATTACACATGGACTCTCCAGATGTTCCTGTAATCACTGTCCCTCTATCATTACAGATGTGAATCAGAGGGTCTGCTGCTGCTGAGAGCAGGAACCAAGACAGAGGACGCTCAGTGTGGAGATATACCATCAGACTGGACTGGACTGATAGTTGGTGGTGTTTTGGGGCATTTAGCTGTCGTGCTTGTGGCATTAACAGCATGGTTTTGCAGAGAGAAGATAACAAGTTTTCTAAACAGAAGTAAGAATTTATAATGTGACAATAAAAACATGATCATGTTTCATTATAGAAACCATCAATGATTTGTTTCATGTTGTCTTGCAGGAAAAAAAAGTTCAGCAGGAACTCCTGACGAGGTATGTTTTACATCTCTTTACTCTCAATCTGCCTATAGCCTGTTAGACTGATGTCATCAATCACCAGCTTCTTCTTAAAAAGCTGGAGTGTTATGGATTGAGAAGCTATCAAATAGATCACAGAGTCTCCTTTAATGGAAGCTACTCAGACTGTGTGTCTGTGGGATGTGGTGTTCCTCAGGGAAGCTGTCTCGGCCCCCTCCTATTTTCCATCTTTACTAATGATTTACCGCTCAAACAAATGCTAAATTAATTATGCACGCAGATGATAGTACAATATATACATCAGCAACAACGCCTTCTGATTGAAATGTTATCATGAACAAGGAGCTAGATACCGCAGGAAGACGGATCCCACAGCCCAGGACCCCTCTCACCCACTCATCACAGCCCAGGACCCCTCTCACCCACTCACCACAGCCCAGGACCCCTCTCACCCACTCACCACGGGCCAGGACCCCTCTCACCCACTCACCACAGCCCAGGACCCCTCTCACCCACTCATCACAGCCCAGGACCCCTCTCACCCACTCACCACAGCCACGACAGGACCCCACTCACCCACTCACCGCAGCCCGGGACCCCTCTCACCCACTCACCACAGCCCACGACCCCTCTCACCCACTCACCGCAGCCCAGGTCCCCTCTCACCAACTCACCGCAGCCCACGACAGGACCCACTCACCACAGCCCACGACAGGACCCCACACACCCACTCACCGCAGCCCAGGACCCCTCTCACCCACTCACCACAGCCCAGTCCCCCCCCACCCACTCACCGCAGCCCAGGTCCCTCTCACCCACTCACCGCAGCCCAGGTCCCCTCCACCCACTCACCGCAGCCCAGGTCCCCTCTCACCCACTCACCGCAGCCCAGTACCCCTCCCACCCACTCACCGCAGCCCAGGTCCCCTCCCACCCACTCACCGCAGCCCAGGTCCCCTCTCACCCACTCACCACAGCCCAGGACCCCTCCACCCACTCACCGCAGCCCAGGTCCCCTCTCACCCACTCACCGCAGCCACCAGGACCCCTCCCACCCACTCACCACAGCCCAGGTCCCCTCTCACCCATCACCGCAGCCCAGGACCCTCCTCACCCACTCACCGCAGCCCAGGACCCTCCACCCACTCACCGCAGCCCAGGACCCCTCCCACCCACTCACCGCAGCCCAGGTCCCCTCTCACCCACTCACCACAGCCCAGGACCCCTCCCACCCACTCATCACAGCCCAGGTCCCCTCTCACCATCTCATCACTGCCCAGGACCCCTCTCACCAACTCATCACCGTCCAGGACCCCTCTCACCCACTCATCACCGCCCAGGACCCCTCTCACCAACTCATCACCGCCCAGGGCCCCTCTCACCCACTCATCACTGCCCAGGACCCCTCTCACCGTCTCATCACCGCCCAGGGCCCCTCTCACCCACTCATCACTGCCCAGGACCCCTCTCACCAACTCATCACCGTCCAGGACCCCTCTCACCCACTCACCACTGCCCAGGACCCCTCTCACCCACTCATCACCGCCCAGGACCCCTCTCACCCACTCATCACAGCCCAGGACCCCTCTCACCGTCTCATCACCGCCCAGGGCCCCTCTCACCCACTCATCACTGCCCAGGACCCCTCTCACCAACTCATCACCGTCCAGGACCCCTCTCACCCACTCATCACCGTCCAGGACCCCTCTCACCCATTCATCACTGCCCAGGACCCCTCTCACCCAACTCACCACAGCCCACGACCCCTCTCATCACCGCCCAGGACCCCTCTCACCAACTCACCACAGCCCAGGACCCCTCTCACCCACTTATCACTGCCCAGGACCCCTCTCACCCACTTATCACCGCCCAGGACCCCTCTCACCCACTCACCGCAGCCCAGGACCCCTCTCACCAACTCACTGCAGCCCAGGACCCCTCTCACCCACTCATCACCGCCCAGGACCCCTCTCACCCGCTCACTGCAGCCCAGGACCCCTCTCATCACAGCCCAGGACCCCTCTCATCCACTCATCGCGCCGAGGACCCCTCTCCCACTCACCGCAGCCCAGGACCCCTCTCACCCACTCACTGCAGCCCAGGACCCTCTCACCCACTCACCGCAGCCCAGGACCCCTCTCACCCACTCATCACAGCCCAGGACCCCTCTCACCCACTCATCACCGCCCAGGACCCCTCTCACCCACTCATCACCGCCCAGGACCCCTCTCACCCACTCACCGCAGCCCAGGACCCCTCTCACCCACTCATCACAGCCCAGGACCCCTCTCACCCACTCATCACAGCCAGGACCCCTCTCACCCACTCATCACAGCTCAGGACCCCTCTCACCCACTCATCGCAGCCAAGGACCCCTCTCACCCACTCATCACAGCCCAGGACCCCTCTCACCCACTCACTGCAGCCCAGGACCCCTCTCACCCACTCATCACAGCCCAGGACCCCTCTCACCCACTCATCATAGCTCAGGACCCCTCTCACCCACTCATCCCAGCCCAGGACCCCTCTCACCCACTCACCACAGCCAAGGACCCCTCTCACCCACTCAACCCAATCTTTCATCAGGTCAGAGATCCAGGACTCTGAGCAGGGAGAGGGCACGCTTTAAGAAGAGCTTTGTTCCATCTGCGATTTCAGCTCTAAATAAGCTTCTACGCTGACTGGCCTATTTCATTGTCTATGTGTTATCATATATACCTGTAGTGAACTGTGCAAAGCTGTGATAACAAATTTCCCCCTGGGGGACAATAAAGTATGTCTTGCATTTGTTTAGTTGTGACAGTTTGTCGTTTCATTTTTTCAAGTTTTATAATAATGTCAGAGATCTACCTTCATCACAGCTTTTACACTTGTAGCAGACTGGACGGTAAGTCGGATGGTCCATAAAGGTTCCATCAGTGCAGGGCAGACAGTCAGTACTTCTGGACTCTGTGCAGTCTGCATAAACCCAACCTCCTGTTTGAAACCACAAGAAGACATTTTTTTAAAATGAAGAAGAATTATCCGTCTCAGAGAAAAGAGGAGGAACAAGAAGACGGTGGACAGTTGGACATAATGGGGATTATTGCTAGTTGGAGGGGCCCCCTGTGAATTTATGACCGGGCCCTTACAGACTTGAGAAGCGGCACCGAGAGAGAGAGAAAAGAGAGAGAGACAGAGAGAGAGAGAGAGAGAAGAGAGAGAGAGACAGAGAGAAAAGAGAGAGAGAGAGAGAGATAGAGAAATTAGCGTGGATGTTGACAGTAGATTTATATTTCATATTATATTCCAGGCTAAATGAAAACATTCAGGGCGTGATCTTACCAGCTGGACACATAAGACAGCATCGATCATTTATGTCATACTCATATCGACCACATGACTGGGTTTGAGGTCTGTGTACCTTCCGCTCATTCTATTTCCAATTCTGAAACGCAAATCGGAAAACAAAAAAACAGGCATTTTTCTTTTTTCAATATATGTAGCAGATTTTAAAACAAACAAACAAGAGCCGTTTTTCATTAAAATATAGCCATAAATTGGACTTTGTGATGTTTTCCTATTATGGATTTTTATAGTCCCAGATAAACACGAAGAATCCAATCTTTTTTGATCCAAAATGTCCCGCTTTGGAGCGAAGCAGGGCTTGGAGAGCCAGGTGAAGAAGGTGTGCTGTTGGACTCTGCTGGCCTTGGCTGTGAGCATCCTGACCTACTGCGTTTGGAAGAGGGTGGTTTAGCCAACACTGCCACCTACCGACCACAACCAGGAACTGTCAGAGACTGAGCGCCAGTATGGAAATGTCTGCAGAGGTGGTTTAAGATGCATCATTTTATTAGTGAGCTGGATAATCAGTATGTTACCTTCTAACTATCAGTAGAATTCAAACGCCAAACACTGCATGTGATATCTGATGAACACTTTCCTTTCAGCTTGTAATTTAATCATTTTAAATTTTTTGTGTAATTATTTATGTGCTGTTTGTCTAAATTTTAGCAGCACCTTTATCTACAATGAATAAAAATAAGGACAAAACATTGAATGAACCATATTTATATCCAGAATCTCCACCATGATCTTGCTACTTTTCACTTAAGTCACATTATAAGAGATTTGAAATGTTTGTTTACTTCTGTATTTCTGGCAAAACACCAGCCATGCAACTACACCTTATCTACAGTGTAGAGCCTCTACTCTAATAAATACTTTGACTTCATAGTTCTCATTAATTTGAAAGTAGCCTGTGCATTAAAGACATTTAGACTTGAAAAATGCATTAGAAACTTTTATTCACATGAATAGCAGACAGAACACTGAAAACTGGAAAACTGGAAAACTGGAAAGGAAAACAGGAAAACACTTGGGTAGAACGTTACATTTTCATGGCAGATTTGCCAGCAAACCTTTGGACAATTTAAGGTTTAGGCAAGCTCCTCCTCGCCTTTCTCCTCAAACTCTCCCTCCTCCTCTGCGGTGGCGTCCTGGTACTGCTGGTACTCGGACACCAGGTCGTTCATGTTGCTCTCAGCCTCGGTGAACTCCATCTCATCCATACCCTCGCCGGTGTACCAATGGAGGAAAGCTTGGCTGTGCTGTTGCCGATGAATGTGGCAGCCATCTTGAGGCCACGGGGAGGGGTGTCACAGACAGCGGTCTTCACGTTGTTGGGGATCCATTCAACATAGTAGCTGCTGTTTTTATTCTGCACGTTCAGCATCTGTTCATCCACCTCCTTCATGAACATGCGGCCACAGAAGATAGCAGCCACTGTCAGGTAGCGGCCATGACGTGGGTCGCAGGCAGCCATCATGTTCTTTGCGTCAAACATCTGCTGGGTGAGCTCTGGTAGAGTGAGGGACCTGTACTGCTGGCTGCCTCGGCTTGTGAGGGGAGCGAAGCCTGGAATGAAAAAGTACAGACGAGGGAATGGCACCATGTTTACAGCCAGCTTCCTCAGGTCAGCATTGAGCTGTCCGGGGAACCTGAGGCAGGTGGTAACGCCGCTCATGGTGGCAGAGACGAGGTGGTTGAGGTCACCATATGAGGGGGTTGTAAGTTTAAGGGTGCAGAAACAGATGTCATACAGTGCCTTGTTGTCAATACAGAAGGTTTCGTCTGTGTTTTCTACAAGCTGGTGGACTGACAGTGTGGCGTTGTAGGGCTCAACAACTGCGTCTGATACTTTGGGTGAGGGTACCACACTGTAGGTTTTCATAATACGGTCGGGGTACTCTTCACGGATTTTGCTGATGATTAACACGGTTAATAATTACTCATCAGGTGTTTAAAGTCAGTTTCCTCTGATGTGGATGAGTTTGAGCAGTTTGATGGAGAGAGATTGAACACTCACATTGTTAATTTTATACCGTTATGATGCCGATCTCTGTTCAGAAATGTCATATTTTAAATGTTTACATCCCCGGTCATCAGATTTAGGCTCATACTTGCCGTTTTCATTTTTTAAGACTTTAAATCGGTAATGACCCCAGCTTGTCCATTAACCGGCATCGTTTGGGCAAAGTACCCGGATGGGTTGCTCTCATGAACTTCCCGCTGTTCAGCAGTCCGCACGCGGCCTCATCGCTCATACGTCATTAACCGCCAACACGGTCACGACTGCGGACTTTTTGTTTTAATCATAAACACGCAAACTTTGTTCAAGTTACAGTACAGCCCAAGACGAGAGAAAACAATCACTTCATATTTCTTCGCATTGCGGGAACAATTACGTCACAGACTAAAACGAAAATAATGATTTTAACCACTCAACGGTCAATCCCACCCACAGCAGTTAACTGATATCTAACGGTTTGGCGTACAAATTAACACAATTTATCAGATTTATAAATGAGGTAAAATCGATTTATATTCGTGACAATTCGACGCATCTCAACCCCATAAGGGCAGCTCTTGAGAGTTTAGGTTTGGATTACACGTTCACAAAAGCACAGAGAACGCAGCATATCTTTTCTAAAATACATCGATTTCAACCGCACAAAAAACATAAAAAGCTGTACTAACCTTGGCACCAATTTGGTTCCCGCACTGGCCGACCTGAAGAGGCACAACTTCCCTCATTTTGTCTTTGGTTTTGGTAGATTGGTTAACAGCTTCGATGAACGAATTAAAGCGTCTATTAGCGTGTACCAACGGCAACCATCTGTTTTATACTACAGCTGAGCCCCGCCCTCTACCCCTCAGCTCGAACGTTGGTTGGCTCATTTCTTTACGCTTGATGTACACGAACAGATTTAGACCAATGATATCGTCCCTGTCTTCTCCACTATTGGTCCAGTCTGTCTGTCAATCACGTTCGTGCCAAACGTATGACTACCGTCTAATCTGTCGACGTTGGCCATGACGTTGTCCTACGTCCCTCATGATGGCGGAAAAGAAATGCGACACCGACAACAGATTTTAATTCATTTCACAGCCGCATGCAAGCCATAGACTGTAAATATTATTGTATATATATTATATTATATTATATTATTATATATTACTTTACATGCAAGCGTGTTAAAAGAAAATGAAACTCATCGATCAGCTGATCTTAATAAACTATTTTGACTGTATCTAGTTATAAAACGTCGAGTCAATTTTAAGTATTTAAAACGAAAGTACACTGTTGGTCTACTAAATATTTAAAAATATTTAACAGCTAGAAAGAACAGAACCATTTATTACATAAAAAATTTACATCTATAGGGAAAATATATCTTTATATCTTAAACTGTATTAATACATTTTTCACTTTGACTTGACTGTGATAACTTTTTTTGATTCATGACGATTTTATAGTTTTTATGTAGCCTACTTATAACTTGGGTTTTAATTGAGTGCTATAATATATATACAGTGTATGTACCATATATATGTAAATCTATATATTCTAAAATAAAATTAGAGACATTATTATACATTGTCTTAAACTGAGAGATCTTCACTTGCTGTTTGACTGCTTTTAATTTGAAATAAAGTAAAGACCTTCTGGTGTATCGAAGATTAAGACCATAACTTAACCTCGTAAAATGAAACTGATTATCATCAAAACACTAATATTGTAAGCAGAATTAATGATTTTTTTAAGAAAAAAATATGGGGTTTTGAAAACAGGACTATGTATTTAATTTGGAGAGCAGACTATAAAATTGTGTTTGATGCTTTATTGTACCAATCTATAAAAAGCATGTAACAGGAGAGTAGAAATTCCCTAGTTTCTGGAGTATTCACCTTTTATTTCCTGCTAAGACTACAACACATGGAATTCCATTCCAACATGGAAAACAGACATCACATACATAGCATGGTTTGGGTGAAAAGTTGCAAGACTCAGTCCAGACTGTTGCAGTACATTTAGGGGACAAAGAAGATGTTTGTTTTCAAATGAAGCCAGGAAAAGAGGCAGACAGAGCTGTTCATCCTGGCCTTTACACGAGGCTCTGACTGAAAACACTACAGTCACATTTAATGGTGATTCCCACTTCAGAGCTGAGCTTTAGGTCACATGACAACCCCCCTTTGCCTTTTAAAAAGCAAAATACAAAGACAAGCAAGCACACAGAGGAAAACATGCAGAAAAAGAGCAACTTAATTACATGCAAACACAATAATTCAATGCAAAAAATCCACATTCAAAAAGTAAACTTAATATTTATATACAGGTTGGCTTAAAGGTTCCTCAAGGTTTCATGGTAAAGAGATAAATACAGCAGATTTGGCAACACCCTTCACAAGTAATGACCACTACTGTGAAAGAGAAAAAAAAACATGCACACAACTTTTAACAATTCTAAACAAAACTCAGGAAATCATTTATAAGACACATCACTCAAATAGAAAAAAATGACACATCAAACACAAACTGTTCCTGCAGCAGTAGCATTAACTTCATTTGCTTATTCTACAGACATGAGAGGTATTAGCACTTAAATACCGCACTTCACATCTTACACCATGAACACAACAAAAGACATGCTGACCAAAGGGCTCTTCAGCTGGAAAATAACCATTACATTTACCATGACTCAGCTGCATGTTTACTAGTAAACAAACTTCATATCCCACAAATCAACACGTCTCTCCCCACCGGTTCACACTCCTGCAGAAACGACAAACTTGCATGTATTATGATCTTTAACCAAAAGAGGGAACCACTTTATCTCATCTGCAAGAAATTAAAAATGTTCCTATAATGTGCAAACATCTTCTAAAGCTGTAATTTTATGATACGTGTGAGGGGAAAAAAGACATAACATTACAAGCAAACATTTTCTTGACATTTAAGGGGAAATAAATGGAACATAAAATCCAGAAAAAAGTTTGAGAAAAGTGGTCTTAATAATCCATCTTAAGATCATTTAATGGCGTTTCTATCGAATATTTTAGATTGTGAACACTGCACAGCTGCACTGATCCAAATCATTCAAAATCCAACTTGCACCATGTCGCACACATTAAGCTCAAACTGTTACACTAACTGTGTTTACATCTTTGTATAAATATATATTTGATATTTGATTATATAGTCAGCACGTTGAGTGATTTATCTTTGTCCCTCAATCGCTTATTTTGGGAAAAAATAATTGGCAGACATCAATTAAAGGCCAGCTTCAATTCTTATCTCTTAAACACAAACATTTCTATACTTTAAACTCTCGCTTATTAATTGATTAAAAATAGAACCCAACTTGGGAAGGTTTAGACACAGTTTAAGGCGCTTCATGAACAGTAACATTGACGGACAACATTTTAAGGGCAGAAATATAAATTTCATCCATGCCATATTTGTGGCTCTTAGCAACAGGACTTAGAGCAAAGAGCCTGGAACCTCGAGCAAATAGCTTAAGAGTGTGCAGCGGGTCAGTAGCAGCTCAGGTGATAGGTAAGAGCACACTAGTCAGGATCCACACCTACTGCAGGTTTAAAGCCGTAAATACATACAAGACAGATAAATATTCAAGGAGGACCGGTCCATGGCACTGTTTTCGGGCTGTTTGTATATTGCACTTTGTGTAGTAAAAAGTTAATCAGTACATTGCTCAGAGTTCATCTCAGAAGCATTTCCTGAAGATGATCTGCGGTCCGTACTCCTCGTATTCTTCCTGACTGATCCATGCGGAGCTGAAGGTGGGCAGGTTGGCAAGCACTGCTCCTCCCCTCCACACTGAAAAGTCTCTGTCCTTCGGGCTGGTGACATGAACACTCTCCCCTGTGTCAGGGGGAACCAGTCCTTTGATTCCAGCCTGGAGCTGCTCAGGCAGGCCGTCCAGCAGGGTGTTCCCTCCTACAGGAGCAGATAGAAAGGAAACTCAAAACATGACCAAAGCAGTGCTCCCAAAAGGGCGTGTACTCACTGCTATAAACCATCATTTTCATTTATGTATTTTGGTGTACAGTGACTTATTTTTATTTTTATAGGTACTCTCCTCATAGCAGGTTCTCTGGGTTCTTCACATGATGGAACTAAATAAACAGAGTTACTGAAGGGGCACCTCATGAAGCTAACGGGCAATCATTCTACCTTACCCGCTTTCCTCTAACTGCTAAAATAAATAGCAAATGTTTTAAATCTTCACAGCAGGTACACACACTTACACATTCACACACTGATGGCAGAGGCTGCTATGTGAAGTGACCATCACAAGTAGTTAATCCCTTTCATAGACATTCACACGCAGAGGGAGCAACTTTGGGTTATGTGTCCTGCCGAAGGACACATTGAACATGTGGCTGCAGGAGCTGGGGATTGAACCCCGACCTTCCAGTTGAGAGATGACCGACTCTACCAACTGAGCCACAGCCGCCCAAAATCCACTTGACATGCATCCATTTCAGTCAACGGTAAGACTGTTACTTTGAGCACTGAAGTTTAATTCATGAAGTTCATAGATATAAAGGTTTTAGGATCAAATAACTTTAGACTGTGTGCTCTCTTTTTGTCCAGGGCAGTACGGTCTTTAGAAATATTGATGATTTAAAATGCAGTGCCATGACATCTGTAGTCGTAATGGGACACTTGGAATTACACACTGTATCATGTGAAAAGATGATAGAAAAAACAAGGAATCGCAGGAATCATGTTAGACGTACAGTATGGCTGAAAAAATCTGGTTCTGTTTGAGGTTTTCTGCCAGTCATATTCGTTTGAATGTTTGAATGGCGTCCAATCGCTGAATTGTTTCAACTTGTAAACTCATTGGAGCCGTCATTGGCTGGGAGAAGCACACCAGCTCCTTGCCCAGAAAAGTCCTGACTCAGCCAAAACATCAAAATCCAGACAGAGTCTCTGCAGACACAGTCACCACCACACATGTATGGAGGCCCAGGAGTGATGACTGAGCAACATCACTTTGGTATAAGTCTATTTTATTTTCTAATGTTCAATGAAACTTTTGCAAACACATACCACACTATTGTTGAAGGAAAGTACTTGCACTTGTTTTATTATCCACTTCAAGCTCTGGACCCTCTGGAGCTGGAGCGCACCTTTAGACTGTTGTGTAACACCATAACAAACATCAGCTGTTACCTGACAGCACGATGTTTCCCAGGAAGCAGCGCCGCAGGTCGATGTCCGAGCTGAGGATTGACTTGAAGACGCTCTCGTGTATCCCGTAATGGTCCCGTCCAATGAGCTTCAGTTCCAATCATCTACATTCTCTGGCAGAGATTGGTGGGGTTGGATTCCTGAACATTTTGGTTGCAGTTTAAGCTGTTCTCCCAAAGATAAAGCTGCTGAGGTCTGTGTAGACGCAGAAACTGACCACAATTAAAACCGGATTAATCCAAAAGCAGCTCTGTTTTTCATGGGGTAATCTGCTATTTATTTTGGGGGACAAAGTTTTAGAATTGCCTCAGTAGATTGTTCCTTCCTGCAGATGCAACATAGTCTATTGTTGCAATCCTTATCTGCATAGGAGCGCGATCAAAGTTAGCCCTCTTTAAGTTTTTGTCTCTGACAGGCTCAGATTGTTACTTTAAGTGTTTGGAAACATCACAGAAAGGCTCCCCACAGAGAAAGACCTCTTTGTTCAAGACTGAAATATTTCACTTTTGGTTAACAATTCAGACAAGAGGCAGCTTTAACATCACCCTCAAGAGTCATTATTTGACAGAAAATTCACTGACAGAAATTAGTGAAGCGGCGCTCACAGGAAAGAGGAAACAGTCAGAAAGTAATAAAGCATAATAATAAATAAAGCATGGAGAAGGGTACAGAACTTTTACATGGCCGTTTTCATTTTAAAGTTCTTCCAGACGGCGCAGTCCACAGAGCCAAAATTATTTGTAACCACTGCGAAGTTGAATTTTCTTATCACCGGAGTACTTGATAAGTACTCCAAAATATGTTGCAGCTTCACTAGTCTTCACTTTATTTAAGCGTTTAACAAAGACCCAGTACCTTCATTCACTCTGCCTACGAGTCTCTTCAGCTGCTGAATAATAACTACAGCTTTCTTGCTAACTCCGGAGCATCACAACAACAACAACTCTTCTCTGAACTCCTGCATGTCACTGTCACTCACAGACTCCACCTAGTGGTGTAGATTATGCAGCGCATTTAATTAATAACACGTCAACATCAACTGCTTGAATAATGTTGCAGTTCAGAAAAATACATTAATATTAGCAACTTTGAAGATGAATTCAAAAGATTATAAACTAAAGAATTTTAAAATGACAAGTACAACAAAAATGTGTTTGTGGGGTCCCCGATAACTAAACAATAAACATCAATGTTCTCAATTGACCTGTCACACTCTCCCCCACTTTAAAAATGGCGTCCCGACATTTTCATTATACCGCTTAGCCTAAAACCTTTCTGGGCAGTTTTTTTTAATATAACAAACAGGATGACATTATGCCCTTGCAGTGGCAATAAGCTTTAGTTTTGTATTTATTTGCTTTGATTACATTGTTTAAGTTGAGAAGTACATTTACAATAAAAGTGCGCTATACACTACTTTTTAATTCATTATTGGATTTTGCATATAACAATGCGATTAATCGTGATTAATCACAGGAACTCATGCGATTAACGCGATTAAAACTTTGAATCGTTGCCCAGCCCTAGTTTTTAGGTACGACAGAAAGATATAAAAGCATCATTTTCTAAAGGTCTTAGCATGCACCAGATAAAATGGTTGTAAGATCACCCCACAACCAGTGGCCTAGTGGTTAGTTCGCGTGCCCCATGTACAGAGGCTACAGTCCTCAAGCAGGAAGCCCGGGTTCAAATCTGGCCTGTGGTTCATTTGCACCCACTCTCTCTGTCCCTAATTTTTGACCCAATCCCCTGTTTCTACCCTGTCTCTCAAATAAAGGCATAAAAGCTCCAATAAGTGTGGATGACTTCCTGGTGTTTCATGACGACAGTACCTGGTAATAGGAGTCCGTCTCTGGTCACCACAGTGTATCCACAGACTCCATTATACTGCAGTGGCAGCTCATTAAAGCTGGCTGTAGTTTCAGGGAGGAGCCAATCATGTGACTTCATCTCACCTGGATCGATTCGCTCACCTACACAGCATTAGAGAAACAGCAGCATTAAGAGTCTGTTGGGTTCAGATATAGTTCAGTTCTTGAAGTCTTGTGGAATATGGACTTTACTCTGTATTTGATTTCGAGAAGTCGTTACCCTCTGCTCATCTGCCTTCACCTCTGAGGACTCCAACAGGCCGTCTAAATGAGCTTCAGAGAAGATCTTGGCCTGCGAGGCGATGAAGGGCTGCAGGTTGATGCTGATGTTATTGAGGATGTTCAGCAGCTCGGCCTCGTCCTGGAGTCCCGACCACAGCTTAGACAGAGCCTTAAACAGTGGCTGAAAGACAAAAATGAGAGAAGATGTAATAAAAGGTGCAGTGAAAAAACAAAGGAATAAAAAACAAAGCAACATTTTGTAATGGTAAACGTCTGTTTTCATGAAGGCACACTTTTTGATTTCGTCTTCAACTGATGAGAAGACATGATTGAGATTATTCCATTTTTTTTAATCATAAATATTCCAGCTTCTCTCCAGGACATTTTTACAAGACTTTTTCTTGACAATCCAGCACAGCAGGTACCCACAAACTGTGATTTATACTGTAAGATGAGCATTATGTGATATTTTATTGAGTGTTTGATGCACAGAAGGTCAGAAGGTCATTCCTGCCTGTGGCCTTCAGACTTTATAACTCCTCCGTTTGACAGTCAGTTAGTCTGAAATTTACTGGACTATAAACCTGAATTTAGTTAACATGGCAACCGTGCAAATCTGTCCGCAAACTGGTCAACAATTTGTTTATATTTTGTTCATATTGCGCGTAATACAAACACTGTGCAATATCTACTCTATTAACACAGTACACACAATATATTTATATTCATATTCGTAAACATTTTTTATATCTTTTCAATTCCCTGCCCTTTGTAAATCGCTTCTTAGTATTACTCTCACTTATTGCTTATCTTAAGACTGTTATGGTAATATTTTGTAAAGCACTTTGCTATTGATGCTATACTCTACCAAATTAACTTTTCTTACTACAACTCCCCTGCACGACATTACCCCTGAGTACCTTTCAGACCTCCTCCACCCCTACAGTCTGACCCAGAACCTCCAGTCCTCAGACACTGCTCTGCTCTCCACTCCCCACACCATCGAGCAGACTTTGGGGGGCAGAGCCCTTCAGTGTGGCAGAGCCCCCCCCCCCCCCCCCCCAACCTCTGGAACGATAAGGTATCAGAACTTACAAACACTGTTGCAGTGGGTACAGCTGCCTTTGACTTCACAGAGATGACGTTCACTTGTATCGGAGGATGGTCGAAGAGCTGCAGAGCTACGGAACCGTGTTGACCGAGCACGTGAGCAGCAGCGAGCTCTCCAACAGAGGACATACCTTACAGTCTATGTTCAGACAGTCTATGGGTCAGACAGTCTATGGTCAGACAGTCTATGGTCAGACAGTCTATAGTCAGACAGTCTATGGTCAGATAGTTTATGGATCAGACCGTACAGTCTATGGGTAAGACCTTACAGTCTATGGTCAGACAGTCTATGGGTAGGACAGTCTATGGGTCAGACAGTTTATGGTCAGACAGTCTATGGGTCAGACAGTCTATGTTCAGACAGTCTGTGTTCAGACAGTCTATGGTCAGACAGTCTATGGGTCAGACCTTACAGTCTATGGGTCAGACAGTCTATGGGTCAGACAGTCTATGGTCAGACAGTCTATGGGTTAGACAATCAATGGTCACACAGTCTATGGTCAGACAGTCTATGGTCAGACAGTCCATGGTCACACAGTCTATGGGTCAGACAGTCCATGGGTCAGACAGTCTATGGTCAGACAGTTTATGGATCAGACAGTTTATGGTCAGACAGTATATGGTCAGACAGTTTATGGTCAGACAGTCTATGGTCAGAGAGTCTATGGTCAGACAGTCTATGATCAGACAGTCTATGGGTCTGACAGTCCATGGGTCAGACAGTCTATGGGTCAGACAGTCTATGGTCAGACAGTCTATGGATCAGACAGTTTATGGTCAGACAGTATATGGTCAGACAGTTTATGGTCAGACAGTCTATGGGTCAGACAGTATATGGTCAGACAGTCTATGGTCAGACAGTCTATGGGTCAGACAGTCTATGGTCAGACAGTCTATGGGTCAGACTGTCTATGGTCAGACAGTCTATGGGTTAGACAATCAATGGTCACGCAGTCTATGGTCAGACAGTCTATGATCAGACATTCTATGGGTCAGACCTTACAGTCTATGGATCAGACAGTCTGTGGTCAGACAGTCTATGGATCAGACAGTCTATGGTCAGACAGTCTATGCTCAGGCAGTCTATGATCAGACAGTCTATGGGTCAGACCTTACAGTCTATGGGTCAGACAGTCTATGGTCAGACAGTCTATGATCAGACAGTCTATGGATCAGACCGTACAGTCTATGGGTCAGACAGTCTATGGTCAGAAAGTCTATGGTCAGACAATCTCTCGGTCAGACCTTACAGTCTATGGGTCAGACAGTATATGGTCAGACAGTCTATGGTCAGACAGTCTATGGGTCAGACAGTCTATGGTCAGACATTCTATGGGTCAGACAGTCTATGGTCAGACAGTCTATGGGTCAGACAATCAATGGTCACACAGTCTATGGTCAAACAGTCTATGATCAGACAGTCTATGGGTCAGACCTTACAGCCTATGGGTCAGACAGTCTATGGTCACACAGTCTATGGTCAAACAGTCTATGATCAGACAGTCTATGGATCAGACCGTACAGTCTATGGGTCAGACCTTACAGTCTATGGGTCAGACAGTCTATGGGTCAGACAGTCTATGGGTTAGACAGTCTATGGGTCAGACAGTCTATGGATCAGACCTTACAGTCTATGGGTCAGACCTTACAGTCTATGGTCAGACAGTCTATGATCAGACAGTCTATGGTCAGACAGTCTATGGTCAGACTGTCTATGGATCAGACCGTACAGTCTATGGGTCAGACCGTACAGTCTATGGGTCAGACCTTACAGTCTATGGTCAGACAGTCTATGGGTCAGACCTTACAGTCTATGGGTCAGACAGTCTATGGTCAGACAGTCTATGGGTCAGACAGTCTATGGTCAGACAGTCTATGGGTCAGACATTACAGTCTATGTTTCAGACAGTCTATGGGTCAGACAGTCTATGGTCAGACAGTCTATGGGTCAGACAGTCTATGGTCAGACAGTCTATGGGTCAGACTGTCTATGGTCAGACAGTCTATGGGTTAGACAATCAATGGTCACGCAGTCTATGGTCAGACAGTCTATGATCAGACATTCTATGGGTCAGACCTTACAGTCTATGGATCAGAGAGTCTATGGTCAGACAGTCTATGGATCAGACAGTCTATGGTCAGACAGTCTATGCTCAGGCAGTCTATGATCAGACAGTCTATGGGTCAGACCTTACAGTCTATGGGTCAGACAGTCTATGGTCAGACAGTCTATGATCAGACAGTCTATGGATCAGACCGTACAGTCTATGGGTCAGACAGTCTATGGTCAGAAAGTCTATGGTCAGACAATCTCTCGGTCAGACCTTACAGTCTATGGGTCAGACAGTCCATGGTCAGACAGTCTATGGGTCAGACAGTCTATGGTCAGACATTCTATGGGTCAGACAGTCTATGGTCAGACAGTCTATGGGTCAGACAATCAATGGTCACACAGTCTATGGTCAAACAGTCTATGATCAGACAGTCTATGGGTCAGACCTTACAGCCTATGGGTCAGACAGTCTATGGTCACACAGTTTATGGTCAAACAGTCTATGATCAGACAGTCTATGGATCAGACCGTACAGTCTATGGGTCAGACCTTACAGTCTATGGGTCAGACAGTCTATGGGTCAGACAGTCTATGGGTCAGACAGTCTATGGTCAGACAGTCTATGGGTCAGACAGTCTATGGATCAGACCTTACATTCTATGGGTCAGACCTTACAGTCTATGGTCAGACAGTCTATAATCAGATAGTCTATGGGTCAGACAGTCTATGGATCAGACCTTACAGTCTATGGGTCAGACCTTACAGTCTATGGTCAGACAGTCTATGATCAGACAGTCTATGGTCAGACAGTCTATGGTCAGACTGTCTATGGATCAGACCGTACAGTCTATGGGTCAGACCTTACAGTCTATGGTCAGACAGTCTATGGTCAGACAGTCTATGGGTCAGACTTTACAGTCTATGGTCAGACAGTCTATGGTCAGACAGTCTATGGGTCAGACAGTCTATGGTCAGACAGTCTATGGATCAGACCGTACAGTCTATGGGTCAAACCTTACAGTCTATGGGTCAGACAGTCTTTGGTCAGACAGTCTATGATCAGACAGTCTATGGGTCAGACCTTACAGTCTATGGGTCAGACAGTCAATGGTCAGACAGTCTATGATCAGACAGTCTATGGATCAGACCGTACAGTCTATGGGTCAGACCTTACAGTCTATGGATCAGACCTTACAGTCTATGGTCAGACAGTCTATGGTCAGACAGTCTATGGGTCAGACAGTCTATGGATCAGACCTTTCAGTCTATGGGTCAGACCTTACAGTCTATGGGTCACACCTTACAGTCTATGGGTCAGACAGTCTATGGGTCAGACCTTACAGTCTATGTTTCAGACAGTCTATGGGTCAGACCTTACAAGAGACTGGAGTTTGTGTTTCAGGGATTTTCCAACATTAAAAGTGTTTGTTTGTCCCCTTCAATGATATTCATTAATCTTCCTGTTTTATTGTTATCTTTAATTCATTTGTTGTTTGGACCATAAAATATCATGACATTTACCAGCGTTTACTTTATAAAGTGATGATAAAAAACAGAAACAATGCAAGTGATAGAGAGCAGACATCAGAACCATGGACAGAGTCAGAATAGAAATAAAATGTGAGACACAAATACATATTAGAAATAATCTGAAGAAATGTATTAAAACAGAGATGATTCTTTTTTCAAATGTATTGTAATTTTTCATTGTGATTATTTTTCAAATGATTTGTTTCTGTGGGAGGAATCCAATTGCTGCTTCGTTCTGCAGCCTCTGACAGCAACTTGATGGCTCATCGGAGGGCCTGTCCACGGACTCCCATCTCTTTCAGTAGCCTGGTGGAAGATGTTGCAACAAAGCCTCTGCAGCCAATCTCCACAGGGAGTACTTGCGTTCTCCAGCCCTGTTGTACTGCCTCGTCTGCCAGATCTGAATATTTCAGCCTCTTGCGTTCATATGCTTCCCCAACTACAGCCTCCCATGGCACAGTTAGTTCCACAATATATAGGGACTTTAGGCTGACCACATAATCAAATCCGGCCTGAGATTGGTTGCAACAATTTCTGGTGGAAAAACAAGCTTCAGGTCAAGATCGACTTGCATTTTCCAATCCCTGGATGCATCCAATTGGCATGCTTCCCTTCTCACAGTTGGATTCCTTCGGTCTTGTCCTGCTGGTGCGAAGGTAGTAGTGTAATTGAAGCCAGTGGTTGGGGGAGAGAGTGTATTGGTGGTAGCCCTTCTCCCTTCTAGGATTAGAGCCAGTTGCCGGAGGACCTGGTGTTGCCTCCAGGTATACCGTCCTTGGGTGAGGCTTGTTCTGCAGCCAGTGAGGATATGTCTTAGGGTTGCTGGTGTTTGGCAGAGTGGACATGCTGGGTCTTCTCCAACCAACTGGCTTAGATTCTTAGGAGTGGGAAGGAGATCATAGGTGGCTCTAATGATGAAACTAAGTCTGCTTCCTTCCATCTCCCAAACATCCCTCCATGTGATTTTTCGATTCTCCAGATTTTCCCATCTTGTCCATTGGCCCTGTGAGACGGCCATTGCACATCTTTTTGCCTCTTCCTGGTGACGCACCTCTGCTACTACAAGCGAGTGTTGCTTTGTGCCATGTAGGTCCGCTTGTTCCGAGACCAAGACCACCTCTTCCATGCTGCACCTGGCCTACAATATCCCCATGCCTGAGAGCTGACTTTGCCTGTTGTACAGCCTGAGTTGGGGTCCACTTCTTCCCTGTTGCCAGCCTGGGAGCAGCTGTTCGTATTGTGGAGTCTTGGGATTCGCTCAGGGTCATGTCCAGTCTTACCTTGGTGCATTTGTACTCCTCAGCCAGGCTTGTGACCGGCAGTTCCAGCGCGCCAATTCCATACAAGTCGATATTGCTGAGACAACGCGGGAGTCCAAGCCATTTCTTGATGTATGAACTGACTGTTCTCTCTAACTTCACAGGAACCTCATAGACTGTCAGAGGCCACATTAGACGGGGGAGCAATCCAAACTGGAGGCACCACAGTTTCAACCTGCCAGGAAGGAGGGTCTTGTCTATGTTTACAAGGCCATTGATGGTTTCTTCCCTCAGTTTTTCGCTTTAGTCCGAGTCCTTGAGGCTTGAGTTGTACCAACGCCCTCAGCTTTTAACTGGCTTCTCTGACGCCATTGGAATGGGTTCTCCGTCGATATGGAATCTCTGGTCTGTGAGTTTTCCCTTCACAATGGAGATACTCCTGGATTTGCTGGGTTTGAACTTCATCCGTGCCCATGTTATGGTTGAATGAAGCTTTTTAGCAGCCGTTTCGTGCATGCAATGCATGATGTCAGGGTGGTCATGCCATCCATATAGGCACGGATAGGAGGTAGCTGCTGTCCCGACTTCAGACGTTCTCCTCCCACCACCCACTTAGATGCTCTGATGATCAGCTCCATTGCCATGGTGAAGGCTAATGGGGAGATGGTGCACCCTGCCATTATTCCTATTTCCAAAGATTGTCAGGATGTAGTGAACTCTGATGTTGTGAGGCAGAACTGCAAATCTTGGAAATAGTTTCTGACCAGTTTGGTGATGGTCTCTGGAACATGGAAGAACTCAAAGGCTGTCCAGAGGAGAGTATGAGGGACAGATCCAAAGGCGTTGGCTAGGTCCAGGAATAAGACATGAAGATCTCTTCCTTCCTTTTTCACAGCTTGAATCTGATGCCATATCATGGATGTGTGTTATAAGCATCCCGAGAAGCCTGGTATACCAGCTTTCTGTACTGATGTATCAATTAAGCTGTTCAGTTTCAGGTAGGCTGTCATCCTTTGTGCAATGATGCTACAGAAGATTTTCCCTTCAACATTCAGAAGGTTGATTTGCCGGAACTGGTCGAGGCTTGAAGCATCCTTTTCTTTGGGGATTAATACACCCCCTGCTCTTCTCCATGCTTTTGGGATGTTTTGCTTCTTCCATGCCACCTTGATTAGATAGAGAAATTAATAGAGAAATATAAATATCTTAAAACATAGTTTCCTTATTGGTCTGTTCCTCACATACAAAATGACAGAGTTAGGATGAAGTTCAAACCAGATTATTTATAGATGTTGACTTTACAAACATTACATTACAATAACTCACTGCCATAAAGCTCCAGTCTGATTGGGTAATAAAAACATGTTGCTTATGGACTTGTTGTGACTTATCTTTTTGTGTCAAAGTACAGAGAACTAAACTGATGATAAACGGTCCGAAGGTTTTTCTAAATAATATTTCTGAACTCTTGTGTTTTATAAAAATATGAAGGCGTAATGTGACATAATAATATATTTACATCTGTATTCATCTTTTGGACTTGACTGTCAGAACCTTTAAAGATCTTCTTGGTTATCATCATTCTTTCAGTTAAATGACACCATGACTGCGTCCCGGGATCAGTCCAAAACGTGTGATAGACCAACGTTCAGCATGATCCCGGGTTGTAGTGTGTTTTATGTAGTGGACTATAAAGGGTGTGATCATACTGACTCAGAATCCAGACTCTAAAATGGCGGATTCACTACAGTGCACTACGATCCCATATTTAATAATGTCTGTGTGACTGGCTGATTGGTTGAAGGTTAAACACTTGAGAGTACATTTATGATTCATTATTTCAAACTCTGTATTCCTCTCTGCTCAAACGGTTTCTGTCAGATATTAAACAGATTTATCATCATCAGATAGTATTCAGTCACACTTTGTCTTCAGTGAGAACATTTCTCTTTCTCTTCACAGATTCTCCTGATGAACATCTCCACAGGTCAAACTCTGACATGTGGTGATATCAGTATGAGATAAGCTCCTGGTAAGATCCTGTTAATAATTAACTTTAATTAATCTTTCATTGCAGCCAAAACATCTTTACTGGTTACTGAGTTTAGAGGTGTTCTCTCTCAAACACTAACAGTTCAACATTCAGTCTTCATTCCCTCACCTGTTCATATCTGAGACATTTTACACCTGGTGAACAATCTGCGTCTGTCCTGATGATGAAAAAGATGAAGATGGTGATGATCTCTCTGACTGCAGGAAGCTGAAAACACTTTTCTCTGGTAATGTGTTATCTGTCCTGGTTTGGAGTTACATTTCTCTTGGTCTTAAATCTGCGTTGGTTCAAACAGCGGGGAATCTGTGCTGGTCTTCTGTTACAGAGAGAATGAGACCTGGATCAGCTGCAGTGTTTCTGGTAAATGATCTTATTGAATTATCTGAGCACTGATTCAGGTTTTATATTTCTGCTCTTCAACATTTCTATCTGTGTAAATATTTGTTCTGAATGATTCTTCTTCACACAAACAGACAAACTTCAGATGTGAAGATTTGAACTCTTTCCCTCTTCTCTCTTCATGGTCTGGATGATGATTTTAGATTTCTCTCTGTATTCCTGTACACTTTGTCTTCAGTGAGAACATTTCTCATTCTCTTCACAGATTCTCCTGATGAACATCTCCACAGGTCAAACTCTGACATGTGGTGATATCAGTATGAGATAAGTTGTCCTGGTAAGATCCTGTTAATAATTAACTTTAATTCATCTTTCATTGCAGCCAAAACATCTTTACTGGTTACTGAGTTTAGAGGTGTTCTCTCTCAAACACTAACAGTTCAACATTCAGTCTTCATTCCCTCACCTGTTCATATCTGAGACATTTTACACCTGGTGAACAATCTGCGTCTGTCCTGATGATGAAAAAGATGAAGATGGTGATGATCTCTCTGACTGCAGGAAGCTGAAAACACTTTTCTCTGGGAAGGTGTTACCTGTCCTGGTTTGGAGTTACATTCCTCTTGGTCTTAAATCTGCGTTGGTTCAAACAGACGAGGAATCTGTGCTGGTCTTCTGTTACAGAGAGAATGAGACCTGGATCAGCTGCAGTGTTTCTGGTAGATGATCTTATTGAATTATCTGAGCACTGATTCGGTGTAAATATTTGTTCTGAATGATTCTTCTTCACACAAACAGACAAACTTCAGATGTGAAGATTTGAACTCTTTCCCTCTTCTCTCTTCATGGTCTGGATGATGATTTTAGATTTCTCTCTGTATTCCTGTACACTTTGTCTTCAGTGAGAACATTTCTCTTACTCTTCACAGATTCTCCTGATGAACGTCTCCACAGGTCAAACTCTGACATGTGGTCCATATCATTATGAGATACATGATAGATGCTGTACTATGTGTCCAGCTGGTAAGATCCTCATAAATGTTAAAGAATCTTTAATTAATCTTTAAGTTTATCAGGTTAGTTTCACTGTCCCAATTCTAAATAAATAAACAGACACTAACTAAAAACTTGCAAAAGCTGTTTTATATTTGTATTATTTTCAACATATACATTTAAAGAACATTTACCTTTACAATTACCTTTAAACATATTCATTATATATTATCGTCCTCTGTTCCACTTACCGTCTTCTTGTTCCTCCTTTTCTCACCCAGACAGATTATTCTCCTTCATTTTCCCTTGGTGACTTTATTGGCAAGTTTAAGATTTCACAGGAACAATGCATTTACACTTGAAAGCGCAACAAGATTGAGTTCTGTCGGGTGGGGCCCCCTTAGGGAGGTTTCCTACTGTCATTGCAAAATTTGCACATTTTGAGCCTCTGCTGTGTTTTAAAGTTTTTCAGACCTCCAGGGCCCCCTGCTGGTCGTCTGGGGCAACAAGCAGAGTACTGCCTTGCCAGTTGACAAACAGCGCCTCTTGTGCTCTCTCTCTCTTCATGTTGTTTTAGCATTCATGTTCTTGCGGAAAAATGTCTTGTTGTTGTTTCAAACAGGAGGTTGGGTTTCTGCAGACTGCACAGACTTCAGAAGTACTCTCTGTAAGCCCTGCCCTGATGGAACCTTCATGGACCATCCGACTTACCATCCAGTCTGCTACATCTCTAAAAGCTGTGATGAAGGTAGATCTCTGACATTATTATAAAACTAAATAAAGATCAGAACATGTTACTAAACAGTCATCACTCTAAAACCAGCTTTGTAACCTTCAGTTAGTTTCAGTTTGAGCCTCAAACACAGAGATGATCATCTGAGTACTTGTTATTTCCTTACACCAAACTGTTCTTTAGTAGAGCAGAAGTACAGTAGTTCATAAATAACCTCTGTGTTTGTGTCGACAGGTTCTGGTCTGAAGATGAAGACGTCGTGTACAAAAGTATCAGACACAGTTTGTGAACCTCTGGAAGGATTTTACTGCTCAGACTCTAGAAAGGACGACTGTGTGGAAGCAAGGAAACACAGACACTGTGAACCAGGAGAATACATCAGAGAACACGGTTAGTTAAACACATTTCACTTTTATTAGTGTGAGAGCTGGCAGCTTTATTTTTATATCTTATTATTATTATTCCTCTGTTTTTTGGCTGGTATCTCCTCCTATACTAATTGTGCTAGAAACATGGTTCAAACTGGAAATGGTAAAGCTTGGTGAGGAGAATTATGCTATTACTTTTAATGATGCTACAATGTTCCAGTGATTTAATATTAATATTTTAAACTGTAAAAAAAGTTAATGGAACCCTATGGGACACAATTTTATAAGCTCATAACTCAAAAACCAATAGTACTATAGTATTCAAACTTACGAATATGGTTCATAATGGTAACATGCGTACCATACTAAAAGATGATACTCACAGCGCCACCATGTGGTGAGATATTTAGCGTTATGCTATCAATGCTAATAAGTTGCTAACAGTTACCCGTACGGAAAATAATATTTGCTCGGAGTGTTCCTTGGATGGTACTGATCGTTTCCTGAGCAGCAACCTATGGTCAATTCAGAAGTTCATGACTCTATATTTTTCAAAATATGAATAATCAATTAACTACTGTAACTCATCAAGCTTTTACCCAAATCAAACCAAAATTGGTACAGCCATTGGTCAGACACTCCACAGCCCACAGATTTAGGTAAAGATCAGTTAAACGGTGTGCCTGTGAAGACAGTAAATTATTTACTGTACTCAGTACTGTAGGAAAAACATTTTCTGTTTCGCTTAATGTTTGATCAAACTTCACCAAATTTGTCGACGGCCCTCAGGAAGGCATCAGGATGTTGTATGATTTTTTGTAGAATTTTACGATCGAATTTTGAAATTTGAAGCGTTAAAATTTAAAATGAGTACTCCCCATGTGATGTCATTGCCTCATATAGTGAATAGTTGTATTTCATTTGTAAGTTCACTTCTCTATATTTTTTACATTTATGTTTAACATTTTGAAAACAAAAGTGTTTAAAGTCTAAGGTCTAAAAACAAAAGTTTTTCCACTGTTTTGTCACTGCCCTATAGTGTAGCATTGTTTGATGGTGTCTTGTCTCCTCTGTAGCCCAGTGGGTAAAACCGCTACTCTGATAATCTGATGATTATGGGTTAGATTCCCGAGAGTTCCAGACTAGCTCATCTATTATGGAAACTTGTTCCTGTGGTGACAACAGTCACCAACAGTTGATCTACAGGTGGTGCTTAAGGGCTTCAAAAGCTTTAGCTGCTGCTTGGAAGTGGAAAAAGCCGCCAAACAGACTGTGGTAGCGATGGCTGCAAAGGCCATGGTTTTGCTCATATAGTTGCTTCCACTCCCAGCCCTGCACGCTCTCACACTGAAATTTCTTCAGGAATTTCCCATTCTAGTTGGAAGTCTGTTCTGTCATAATCACGATTATTTACAGACCACTGACAAAGAAATAATTTCTTCTGTCTTGAGTCACCATCTGAAGATTTTCAGAACTCTCTGGATCGTAATATTCCAACAAAAACAGTCCTGCTGCATCAGAACGAGTCCCAACCATCCAAATCTAGAGAAAGATTGAATCCAAACACATCACATAAATAAAGATCTACAGATTGATTCAAATTGTCCACCACTGTTCCAGATTTCCTGCTGTATTTTCTGTGATGATTCATTTTTGTGAATGATTTTCTAAAATTAGGATACTCAAAACTCTAACCTTTCGATTGGCACCATTTGGCAAATTAGGACCTTCCATTCAGTTCCCAGTCTATTACAGCCAATGAGATGAAAGGAGGTGCGTGCCCTGTATTCTGATGAATCTATACCCGGCCAATTGCACGCCACTATGCTGACGACTGACGTTTCTTGTAGCCAATGACATTCTGAACACGCTTTTTGAATTTGAATTGATTTATTTAATAGGGACGATGAAACTGATGTGCTCCATAAAGTGTACATAGTGATATAGTGAATTTACAACTTTTGTCCCTAGTTGAGCCTTTGGGTAAACAGAGTAAAAATATACAACATTCTGTTACATAACCCCCCCCCCAACACTATATGAGGGTACAACAATATAACACTACACATGCTATAAATCAGTTTAAAATATAGTTTTAAGATGCTATTTAAAAGTGGGTACAGCTCTGGTTTGCTTTCAGCCAGCATTTCACCTTTTTTGTGAACGCTGCCTTAATTAATAACTCTCATCCCGCAGGCTGTGGGTGTATTATGTCAGTTTAAATAGACAGAGAGATAGGCATAGCGTTGAGTTTCCAGTAATTAAAGCAAATTTCTCAGGATCCGTCGCTTGTCCTGTTGAATTTGAATTTATTTATTTAATAGGGATGATGCAATTTAACATGGTTTGAATACAAAGCATGAAACTGATGTGTTGCACAGAGAGCTTATAGCTATTGCTAATTTCCACTCGTGTCCCTAGTTGTGTGTTTGACCAACTGATAAGATAATTACATGACATCATTTTGTATATATGGTGATAGAGGGACTGTGTTCATGTCTAAAACAACCTCTGTGAAATAGTCTCATGTGTTCTGTATTTCCTGCAGGAACTTCCTCCACAGACACCGTGTGCTCGACCTGCTCTGATGGAACATTTTTAGACGGGACGTTTACATTTTGTCAGAAACACAAACAGTGAGTGAAGCTTCACATTACACATGGACTCTCCAGATGTTCCTGTAATCACTGTCCCTCTATCATTACAGATGTGAATCAGAGGGTCTGCTGCTGCTGAGAGCAGGAACCAAGACAGAGGACGCTCAGTGTGGAGATATACCATCAGACTGGACTGGACTGATAGTTGGTGGTGTTTTGGGGCATTTAGCTGTCGTGCTTGTGGCATTAACAGCATGGTTTTGCAGAGAGAAGATAACAAGTTTTCTAAACAGAAGTAAGAATTTATAATGTGACAATAAAAACATGATCATGTTTCATTATAGAAACCATCAATGATTTGTTTCATGTTGTCTTACAGAAAAAAAAAGCTCAGCAGGAACTCCTGACGAGGTATGTTTTACATCTCTTTACTCTCAATCTACCTATAGCCTGTTAGACTGATGTCATCAATCACCAGCTTCTTCTTAAAAAGCTGGAGTGTTATGGATTGAGAAGCTATCAAATAGATCACAGAGTCTCCTTTAATGGAAGCTACTCAGACTGTGTGTCTGTGGGATGTGGTGTTCCTCAGGGAAGCTGTCTCGGCCCCCTCCTATTTTCCATCTTTACTAATGATTTACCGCTCAAACAAATGCTAAATTAATTATGCACGCAGATGATAGTACAGTATATACATCAGCAACAACGCCTTCTGATTGAAATGTTATCATGAACAAGGAGCTAGATACCGCAGGAAGACGGATCCCACAGCCCAGGACCCCTCTCACCCACTCATCACAGCCCAGGACCCCTCTCACCCACTCACCACAGCCCACGACAGGACCCCACTCACCCACTCACCGCAGCCCAGGACCCCTCTCACCCACTCATCACAGCCCAGGACCCCTCTCACCCACTCATCACAGCCCAGGACCCCTCTCACCCACTCATCACAGCCCAGGACCTCTCTCACCCACTCACCACAGCCCACGACAGGACCCCACTCACCCACTCACCACAGCCCACGACAGGACCCCACTCACCCACTCACCGCAGCCCAGGACCCCTCTCAACCACTCACCGCAGCCCAGGACCCCTCTCACCAACTCACTGCAGCCCAGGACCCCTCTCACCAACTCACCGCAGCCCAGGACCCCTCTCACCCACTCATCACAGCCCAGGACCCCTCTCACCCACTCACCACAGCCCACGACAGGACCCCACTCCCCCACTCACCGCAGCCCAGGACCCCTCTCACCCACTCATCACAGCCCAGGACCCCTCTCACCCACTCATCACAGCCCAGGACCTCTCTCACCCACTCACCACAGCCCACGACAGGACCCCACTCACCCACTCACCACAGCCCATGACAGGACCCCACTCACCCACTCACCGCAGCCCAGGACCCCTCTCACCCACTCACCACAGCCCAGGTCCCCTCTCACCCACTCATCACCGCCCAGGACCCCTCTCACCCACTCACCACAGCCCAGGTCCCCTCTCACCCACTCATCACCGCCCAGGACCCCTCTCACCCACTCATCACCGCCTAGGTCCCCTCTCACCCACTCACCACAGCCCAGGTCCCCTCTCACCCACTCATCACCACAGCCCAGGTCCCCTCTCACCCACTCACCACAGCCCAGGACCCCTCTCACCCACTCACCGCAGCCCAGGACCCCTCTCACCCACTCATCACCGCCCAGGACCCCTCTCACCCACTCACCACAGCCCAGGTCCCCTCTCACCCACTCACCACAGCCCAGGACCCCTCTCACCCACTCATCACAGCCCAGGACCCCTCTCACCCACTCACCACAGCCCAGGTCCCCTCTCACCCACTCACCACAGCCCAGGACCCCTCTCACCCACTCACCACAGCCCAGGACCCCTCTCACCCACTCATCACCGCCCAGGACCCCTCTCACCCACTCACCACAGCCCAGGTCCCCTCTCACCCACTCACCACAGCCCAGGACCCCTCTCACCAACTCACCACAGCCCAGGACCCCTCTCACCCACTCACCACAGCCCAGGACCCCTCTCACCCACTCACCACAGCCCAGGACCCCTCTCACCCACTCATCACAGCCCAGGACCCCTCTCACCCACTCACCACAGCCCAGGACCCCTCTCACCCACTCACCACAGCCCAGGTCCCCTCTCACCCACTCACCACAGCCCAGGACCCCTCTCACCAACTCACCACAGCCCAGGTCCCCTCTCACCCACTCACCACAGCCCAGGACCCCTCTCACCCACTCACCACAGCCCAGGACCCCTCTCACCCACTCATCACAGCCCAGGACCCCTCTCACCCACTCACCACAGCCCAGGACCCCTCTCACCCACTCACCACAGCCCAGGACCCCTCTCACCCACTCACCACAGCCCAGGACCCCTCTCACCCACTCACCGCAGCCCAGGTCCCCTCTCACCCACTCACCGCAGCCCAGGTCCCCTCTCAACCACTCACCGCAGCCCAGGACCCCTCTCACCCACTCATCACAGCCCAGGACCCCTCTCACCCACTCACCACAGCCCACGACAGGACCCCACTCACCCATTCACCACAGCTCAGGACCCCTCCCACCCACTCACCACAGCTCAGGACCCCTCTCATCCACTCACCACAGCTCAGGACCCCTCTCACCGCAGCCCAGGACCCCTCTCACCCACTCATCACAGCTCAGGACCCCTCTCACCCACTCATCGTAGCCAAGGACCCCTCTCACCCACTCATCACAGCCCAGGACCCCTCTCACCCACTCACTGCAGCCCAGGACCCCTCCCACCCACTCACCACAGCTCAGGACCCCTCTCATCCACTCACCACAGCTCAGGACCCCTCTCACCGCAGCCCAGGACCCCTCTCACCCACTCATCACAGCTCAGGACCCCTCTCACCCACTCATCGCAGCCAAGGACCCCTCTCACCCACTCATCACAGCCCAGGACCCCTCTCACCCACTCACTGCAGCCCAGGACCCCTCTCACCCACTCATCACAGCCCAGGACCCCTCTCACCCACTCATCATAGCTCAGGACCCCTCTCACCCACTCACCACAGCCAAGGACCCCTCTCACCCACTCAACCCAATCTTTCATCAGGTCAGAGATCCAGGACTCTGAGCAGGGAGAGGGCACGCTTTAAGAAGAGCTTTGTTCCATCTGCGATTTCAGCTCTAAATAAGCTTCCACGCTGACTGGCCTATTTCGTTGTCTATGTGTTATCATATATACCTGTAGTGAACTGTGCAAAGCTGTGATAACAAATTTCCCCCTGGGGGACAATAAAGTATGTCTTGCATTTGTTTAGTTGTGACAGTTTGTCGTTTTATTTTTTACGCCAAAGTTTTATAATAATGTCAGAGATCTACCTTCATCACAGCTTTTACACTTGTAGCAGACTGGACGGTAAGTCGGATGGTCCATAAAGGTTCCATCAGTGCAGGGCAGACAGTCAGTACTTCTGGACTCTGTGCAGTCTGCATAAACCCAACCTCCTGTTTGAAACCACAAGAAGACATTTTTTAAAAATGAAGAAGAATTATCCGTCTCAGAGAAAAAAGGAGGAACAAGAAGACGGTGGACAGTTGGACATAATGGGGATTATTGCTGGTTGGAGGGGCCCCCTGTGAATTTATGACCGGGCCCTTACAGACTTGAGAAGCGGCACCGAGAGAGAGAGAAAAGAGAGAGAGAGACAGAGAGACAGAGAGAAAAGAGAGAGAGAGAGATAGAGAAATTAGCGTGGATGTTGACAGTAGATTTACATTTCATATTATATTCCAGGCTAAATGAAAACATTCAGGGCGTGATCTTACCAGCTGGACACATAAGACAGCATCGATCATTTATGTCATACTCATATCGACCACATGACTGGGTTTGAGGTCTGTGTACCTTCCGCTCATTCTATTTCCAATTCTGAAACGCAAATCAGAAAACAAAAAAACAGGCATTTTTCTTTTTTCAATATATGTAGCAGATTTTAAAACAAACAAACAAGAGCCGTTTTTCATTAAAATATAGCCATAAATTGGACTTTGTGTTGTTTTCCTATTATGGATTTTTATATTCCCAGATAAACACAAAGAATCCAATCTATTTTGATCCAAAATGCAAAAATGCAGGGATATCTGTATTATTACCGGTATTATAAGGAGAACTGGAAGAAGTATTTTAGTTTGGGTTTTTTTCGCGATTAGCACGTCTTTAGCACAACATTGGCAGCATAGACTGTCTGATCATAGACTGTCTGATCATAGACTGTCTGACCATAGACTGTAAAGTCTGACCCATAGACTGTCTGACCATAGACTGTAAAGTCTGACCCATAGACTGTCTGACCATAGATTGTCTGAACATAGACTGTCTGAACATAAACTGTCTGACCATAGACTGTCTGAACATAGACTGTCTGAACATAGACTGTCTGACCATAGACAGTCTGACCATAGACTGTCGGACCCATAGACTGTCTGATCATAGACTGTCTGACCATAAACTTTTTCAGAATAGGCTACACTGGGATTTTCAGGAGATTAGGAGTAAAATGATTCTCATATACAGAGAAAATTGTCTGTTGTTATAGGGTGTAAAACAAAAACACAAGCTTACTGTCTCATAAAGAAGAGTAGAGGTCTATGAATAACCAAAAGAGGGGCACCGGTAGCACAGTGGTTCATCAACACGCCCCATGTACAGAGTCTACAGTCCTAGGCTTGAATCCGACCTGCGGCGTGTTGTTCCCCACTCTCTCGCCCTGATTTCTTACTCGATCTCCCACTGCCCTGTCTCTCAAATAAAGACATAAAGAAATAAACCTTTGTAAAAAAGAAAGTATAACCCAAAAGGCAAGGATGTTGTGTATAGGTACAGGAACATTAGCTTTAGCTCGAAGGTTTAATGCGGCCTCAGATGTCTGCATGTTTTTTTCATGTAACTTGAATCTGCTTTTCCCACAATGATCTATTTTTGATAAAAATGTTAATCAGTCATATCTGTTGAGCTGCTGCTGCAGGAGCACACAAACATGTAGAGAACATTCAGATTATTTTATTAAGTGTTTAGTATATTCAGTAACAACACGAACAGCTGTCCTAATTGTGTTTAGAGATCTACAAACTAATTGGGTAAAATCATAACTGTAAAATACAGGTTTCTTGAGACTTTTTAATCCGAGTTGTATCAACAATCTTTCTGATTTCAACTAAGAATTCAGGTTAAAATGTGTTCCTTAGAAATCTGAATGATTACAGTACATGTCTGTGTTCATTGAGAGTTCAATCTAGTTGTTTGTTGTTGACAGAGCGGCTTTGTGTCCCGCTTTGGAGCGAAGCAGGGCTTGGAGAGCCAGGTGAAGAAGGTGTGCTGTTGGACTCTGCTGGCCTTGGCTGGGAGCATCCTGACCTACTGCGTTTGGAAGAGGGTGGTTTAGCCAACACTGCCACCTACCGACCACAACCAGGAACTGTCAGAGACTGAGCGCCAGTATGGAAATGTCTGCAGAGGTGGTTTAAGATGCATCATTTTATTAGTGAGCTGGATAATCAGTATGTTACCTTCTAACTATCAGTAGAATTCAAACGCCAAACACTGCATGTGATATCTGATGAACATTTTCCTTTCAGCTTGTAATTTAATCATTTTAAATTTTTAGTGTAATTATGTATGTGCTGTTTGTCTAAATTTTAGCAGCACCTTTATCTACAATGAATAAAAATAACAAAACATTGAATGAACCATATTTATATCCAGAATCTCCACCATGATCTTACTACTTTTCATTTAAGTCACATTATAAGAGATTTTAAATGTTTGTTTACTTCTGTATTTCTGGCAAAACACCAGCCATGCAACTACACCTTATCTACAGTGTAGAGCCTCTACTCTAATAAATACTTTGACTTCATAGTTCTCATTAATTTGAAAGTAGCCTGTGCATTAAAGACATTTAGACTTGAAAAATGCATTAGAAACTTTTATTCACATGAACAGCAGACAGAACACTGAAAACTGGAAAACAGGAAAACACTTGGTTAGAACGTTACATTTTCATGGCAGATTTGCCAGCAAACCTTTGGACAATTTAAGGTTTAGGCAAGCTCCTCCTCGCCTTCCTCCTCAAACTCTCCCTCCTCCTCTGCGGTGGCGTCCTGGTACTGCTGGTACTCGGACACCAGGTCGTTCATGTTGCTCTCAGCCTCGGTGAACTCCATCTCATCCATACCCTCGCCGGTGTACCAATGGAGGAAAGCTTTGCGCCTGAACATGGCTGTGAACTGCTCAGAGATGCGCTTGAACAGCTCCTGGATGGCTGTGCTGTTGCCGATGAATGTGGCAGCCATCTTGAGGCCACGGGGAGGGATGTCACAGACAGCGGTCTTCACGTTGTTGGGGATCCATTCAACGAAGTAGCTGCTGTTTTTATTCTGCACGTTCAGCATCTGTTCATCCACCTCCTTCATGGACATGCGGCCACGGAAGATAGCAGCCACTGTCAGGTAGCGGCCATGACGTGGGTCGCAGGCAGCCATCATGTTCTTTGCGTCAAACATCTGCTGGGTGAGCTCTGGTACAGTGAGGGACCTGTACTGCTGGCTGCCTCGGCTTGTGAGGGGAGCGAAGCCTGGAATGAAAAAGTGCAGACGAGGGAATGGCACCATGTTTACAGCCAGCTTCCTCAGGTCAGCATTGAGCTGTCCGGGGAATCTGAGGCAGGTGGTAACGCCGCTCATGGTGGCAGAGACGAGGTGGTTGAAGTCACCATATGAGGGGGTTGTAAGTTTAAGGGTGCGGAAACAGATGTCATACAGTGCCTCGTTGTCAATACAGAAGGTTTCGTCTGTGTTTTCGACAAGCTGGTGGACTGACAGTGTGGCGTTGTAGGGCTCAACAACTGCGTCTGATACTTTGGGTGAGGGTACCACGCTGTAGGTTTTCATAATACGGTCGGGGTACTCTTCACGGATTTTGCTGATGAGCAGTGTGCCCATCCCAGAGCCAGTACACCAAGAGAGTGTGCAAGCTGGAAGCCCTGCAGGCAGTCACAGTTCTCTGCCTCCTTCCTCACTACATCCAGGACAGTGTCCACCAGCTCTGCACCCTCTGTGTAGTGACCTTTGGCCCAGTTGTTGCCAGCACCACTCTGGCCTAGAAAAGCAAAGAAAAAAAAAACGGGGGGAATTAAGCTTAACAGTACTTAAATGCAAAATGACAAGTAGCTAGTAAAGAAGGAATGTAAGGACAAATGAACAATTACCGTGAACAAAGTTGTCTGGCCTGAAGATCTGGCCGTAGGGTCCGGATTTCACAGAGTTCATGGTTCCTGGCTCCAGATCCACCAGCACAGCACGGGGAACATATTTACCACCTTCAAGAAGCATATAGGACGTGAGGGTAATGTTCACAAAAAAAAAAGCCAAAAAGTTTATGCCTATTAAAACATCTAATTCAACCTTACCTGTGGCTTCATTGTAGTAGACATTGATCCTGTCAAGCTGCAGGTCACGGTCACCGTGGTATGTGCCAGTTGGGTCAATGCCGTGCTCATCACTGATCACCTCCCAAAACTGAAATATAATAAAACATTTTAAGACATTGTTGGCTGATAAAACATAAACAAGTGACAGGGGAATGAGTAGGCAGTAATGTTGAAGTGGATGCAGGTCATTATGTATCGGTTTCTTTCATTTCTTTCAAGCTGACACAGCAGTTCTATAGAGGTTGATTCATAAGAGCAGTTGAACATCACTTCCGGCTCGCCAGAGTGACCACGCCCCCGTTTGGGTGAAAACAAGCCCTGAGAATGTTTCAGCGGAAGATTAGAAAACACTGGAAGCCGTGCAATTAAATGCAATTGCGAAGCTTTTTGTACTTTGTACAAACTATTTTAAAAACACAATTTAGTATCAGGTTTTGATTTACAAAAGGACACCGGAGGGTAAAAGAAGAGCTGTGTGTGTTTGGACTGAAACTAGAGAGGATTAAAGTGCTAAATTGTGGGACCGCTGTCATGTTCCTGCTTTAAAGCAGCGATCGCTCTGTGACAGAAGAAGTCTGTTAACAGATTCTTCACACATTCATTCACTAACATTAACAACGTTTCAACTGTCACGTCACATAAATATGTTGGTGAAAATGTCTCTAAATGAAGGAACACTACACCAAACCCTCCTCCTCCAAATTTAAAAGTTTGCTAGCTCAATATAACACCTTGTTTCACCCCACTCATCATTATTTACACTCACTATGAATACAAAATGTTTTAATATCATCCAGGTGATTTTACATGTGTTATTCTTTTCTAAGCCAGCTGATAACTCAGAGTCTATGTCCCCTTTTCTCTAAAATAAACATCTGTAACCACTCCATTACAGTTATGAACACTGTTAGAAACTATTACAAATATTATTTAAAAATAAAGATCCCTCTCGGGTAACACGGTTAATAATTACTCATCAGGTGTTTAAAGTCAGTTTGACGGAGAGAGACTGAACACTCACATTGTTAATTTTATACCGCTATGATGCCGATCTCTGTTCAGAAATGTCATATTTTAAATGTTTACATCCCCGGTCATCAGATTTAGGCTCATACTTGCCGTTTTCATTTTTTAAGACTTTAAATCGGTAATGACCCCAGCTTGTCCATTAACCGCCAGTCATTCAGATGGAATGATTTCACTCAGAAAGGGCCGGGGGCGGCATCGTTTGGGCAAAGTACCCGGATGGGTTGCTCTCAAGTTCCCGCCGTTCAGCAGTCCGCGCGCGGCCTCGTCGCTCATACGTCATTAACCGCCAACACGGTCACGACTGCGGACTTTTTGTTTTAATCATAAACACGCAGAACTTTGTTCAAGTTACAGTACAGCCCAAGACGAGAGAAAACAATCACTTCATATATTTCGCATTGCGGGAACAATTACGTCACCGAATAAAACGAAAATAATGATTTTAACCACTCAACGGTCAATCCCACCCGCAGCGGTTAACTAACTAACTAACTAACTAACGGTTTGGCGTACAAATTAAATCGATTTATATTCGTTACAATTCGACGCATCACAACCCCATAAGGGCAGCTCTTGAGAGTTTAGGTTTGGATTACACGTTCACAAAAGCACAGAGAACCCAGCCTATCTTTTCTAAAATACATCGATTTCAACCGCACAAAAAACATAAAAAGCTGTACTAACCTTGGCACCAATTTGGTTCCCGCATTGGCCGACCTGAAGAGGCACAATTTCCCTCATTTTGTCTTTGGTTTTGGTAGATTGGTTTACAACTTCGATGAACGAATTAAAGCGTTTATTAGCGTGTACTAACGGCAACCATCTGTTTTATACTACAGCTGAGCCCCGCCCTCTACCCCTCAGCTCGAACGTTGGTTGGCTCATTTCTTTCCGCTTGATGTACACGAACAGATTTAGACCAATTAAATCGTCCCTGTCTTCACCACTATTGGTCCAGTCTGTCTGTCAATCACGTTTGTGCCAACCGTATGACTACCGTCTAATCTGTCGACGTTGGTCATGACGTTGTCCTACGTCCCTCATGATGGCGGAAAAGAAATGCGACACCAACAACAGATTTAATTCATTTCACAGCCGCATGCAAGCCATAGACTGTAAATATTATTGTATATATATATATATATATATATATATATATATATATATATATATATATATATATATATATATATGATATTATATTATATTATTATATATTATTTTACATGCAAGCGTGTTAAAAGAAAATGAAACTCATCAATCAGCTAATCTCAATAAACTATTTTGATTGTATCTAGTTATAAAACGTCGAATCAATTTTAAATATTTAAAACAAAAATACACTGTTGGTCTACGAAATATTAAAAAATATTTAACAGCTAGAAAGAACAGAACCATTTTTTACATAAAAAATGTACATCTATAGGGAAAATATATCTTTATATCTTAAACTGTATTAATACATTTTTCACTTTGACTTGAATGCAATAACTTTTTTTGATTCATGACGATTTTATAGTTTTTATGTAGCCTACTTATAACTTGGGTTTTAATTAAGTGCTATAATATATATACAGTGTATGTACCATATATATGTAAATCTATATATTCTAAAATAAAATTAGACACATTATTATACATTGTCTTAAACTGAGAGATCTTCATTTGCTGTTTGACTGCTTTTAATTTGAAATAAAGTAAAGACCTTCTGGTGTATCGAAGATTAAGACCATAACTTAACCTCGTAAAATGAAACTGATTATCATCAAAACACTAATCTTGTAAGCAGAATTAATGATTTTTTAAGAAAAAATATGGGGTTTTGAAAACAGGACTATGTATTTAATTTGGAGAGCAGACTATAAAATTGTGTTTGATGCTTTATTGTACCAATCTATAAAAAGCATGTAACAGGAGAGTAGAAA